CAAGGACACGGTGCCGGTGTGCACGGGCACACTCAGGGTGCACGGACACGGGGTGAGTGTGCAAGGTGTGAGTGTGCCGGGCTTCACACGGGCTCGAGGTGACCGCACGGAGACGCCGTGAGCGTGCACGGGGCGTGTGGCTGGGCACGGCTGGGCACGGGGATCCGCGTGGACACGGCGCCACTCGGCACGGACACGGGGCGGCCACGCGTGGGTGGGTGCTGTGGGCTTTCTCCTTTTTCCCTCGTTCGTTGCTTTTGGTTTTGGTTCGTTTTGCTTTTTTTTGGGGGGGAATTGCGTTGTTTGGGTGCGTGTCTGCTGCCGGGGGCCACTTTTCGTTTGGTGCTCTCCTTGATTTTTGGGGTTGTTTTTTCAGAGCACACGACGAGCGCGCACACGCGGCGGGTGTGCAGCACCCAACGTGCCCGTGCCCGGGGGGGGTCAACGTGCCCGGACCGCGTGTGCCCGCAGCAGAAAGGTGCCGGTGCTCGGTGCCACGGTGGGGGCCCAGCGGGCAGGGTCCCACGGGGCGCTGCGTGCCCACGAGGCGGGGGGCGCTTCCCGTGCCACCCACCCGGTACCGGGCACTTTCTCCGCAGCCGGGCGGGGGTCGCAGCCCCAGGGCCACCCCCGGGGCCGGTGCCACTGCCCGGCACGGGAGAGTCCCGGGAGGCCTCGGCGGCTCCTCCCGCACGGGCGCCGGTTTCTGCCCCGGGGGCAGCGCCCAGGAGCGGGTGGGGGCGCAGGGACCCCCGGGCCACCCCCCGATGTAGCCCCCGTCCCGGGGCCCGCCGCGCCCCGCACCCCGGGACCCCGACGGAGCTTATTTCGTTTGCAGGACCCGGCCGGCCCCGGGTAACCGGGATGGCCCCGGGGCTGTCGGGGCGGGGGGAGCCCCTGTCCGGCCCGGGGCCGCTCCCCGCCGGGCCCCCCAGCTCCGCAGCCCCGCAGCCGGGATGCGCTGCCCCGGCCTCGGCGCAACGAAATCAGTGGGAATCAAACGAAATCACGGAACCCGCTGCCGCAGCCGCCCCCGGCCCAGCGGCCCCCGGCCCCGCACCGCCGACCCCCTTCCCTGGGGCTCCCCGTGCGCCCATCCCGGCCCCGGGCGGTTGCGGGGCTCCGCGCCCCAAACGAGTCCTCGGCTGTGGGGCTGCCCCGAGCCGGGCAGCGGTGGGGGCCGGGGAGCCCAGGTCCCCCCTGCACTCCTGGGACCCAATTTCGGGCGTCCTCGCCCCCCCGCACCCTGGTTCTGGGAACCCCGCGTTGTGACCCCTGCTTCTAGGGTCCCTGCTCCGTGGGTTCTTGGTCCAAAAACCTCACTGCTGGGATCGCTTCTTGGGGTCCAGGCAATCCCATTGCCCCCCCACATCCCCAGGCACTGGGGTGCGGTGTCCCCACAGAGACCTTTTCCCCCCCCCAGCCCGCTCCGTGGCACACCGGAGCTCCAGATCGCAAAAACAGTCCCTGGGAGGGGGTGGCAGAAATGCTGAGGGACGTGGGGCAGGGTGCACCCTGACAGAAAGGGTGCACAAACACCCACAGCAGGTCCCCACAGCCCCCCAGGTCCCCACGGGGCAGGGCGAGCCCCCAGACCATGGCTTGGGTCTATCCCGGTGCTGTCCTGGTGCTGTGCGGTGCTTGGTTCTGTCCCCAAACCCAACAACTCCCCACACACATAGGGTCTGTGTTAATTGTGCCTCAGTTTCCCCTCTCCAAAAGTGCACAGCCCCACAAATACCCACGGCAGGGGACACGGTGACAGCAGCTGTGAGGAGGCACCTGGGCACGGGGACCCCAACCCGCCACGGGGCAGCGTGCACAAACCTCAGGGCTCAGCTTGCCAAAGTGCCCTGCAGGTTTTTTTGCCCTGCATGAAGCCACCCTGCGTTTCACAGCCTGGCCTCTAGCTGCTTTGTCACCCTGCACATTCTGAGTGTCCCCAGGGCACACCGGTGCTGGGTTGGGGTGACCCGGGGGGGTCAGCATGCCGTGCTGCCAGCTGTGCGGCTCCACGCTCTCATCGTCTCCACCTTTCCCATTTTCCAGCCCCCCTGCTCTGCTCTTCCCCCCCCCATGGTGGGCTGCTTCCTCAGGGGGCCGAAACGGCTCCAAAGCACGGTGCCTTCTGCAGGCACCCATCACCGCCACGCAGAGGCAATTCCAGTTAATGAGCATCAAATTAATGGGGTGGGGGGGCCTTGTCACTCCTCATCCGTGGAGCCCGAGGGTGCTGCTGGGCACGTGGGTTTCAGCAGTGGCCTTAGTGATCCTGGGGTACCAGGAGGGCCCCAATAAATCCCAAAAAAAACCCTCTGTGAGCAGCCGGAGCACAGGGGCCAGCATGGGGGCTCTGTGCCGGGGATGCTCCTGCAGCACCCGTGGTGTCCCGTGGGTTTATGGAGCAGCATCAGGAGGTGCAGGGCTCGGTGCTGAGCTACTGCCCGGGAGCTCCAGGGATTTCACAGCTTGTGGGGCCAGGAACAGGGCTGGGTGTTGGTGGGGGTGGAGGGGAGCCACCCCCATGGGGCTTAACGAGATTCATCGATGACGATGGGGAGGAAGAAGCGGGACGGGCTCAGCAGATGTGACCGAGGGCGCAGAGGGGCGGAGGGGGACGTGACAGGCGCCGGTGCTGGGATGGAGGAGAGGTGACCCCAGCCAGGATCGGAGCTGGAGCAGAGCAGAGGCAGCAGGGGGGTGCTGCTGATGGTTTATTTTGGGCTGAGGGGTAAATTTTGGGGGTACAGAGCACAGGAGAGGCAGCACGGCGTCGCCCCACACCTCTCGCCCTCGTGGACACGCGGTAGAGCCCAAAACCGAGCTGCTGGTTTCTGCAGCTCCGAGCCCCCCCGCCGGGCAGCAGGGCAGAGGGCAGGGCGAGGGACACATCTGCACGGGGGCCGTCACGCCTCTGCTCCCACGGGGCTCATTTCCTGGCCTCTTTTACGCCTCTGAGCCCGGCAGGCCAGCGACGATAATTGCAGCAGTCATCAGCGTCACCGGTGCACCGAGGCACGGCTGGGTGACACTTGTGGACAGCTCCCCCAGCACAAAGCGACGGGAGCCAGCCGAGCCCTCCGCGTGCCCCCACATCACCCCCGCAACCGGGTGCGTTTCAGCCGGCCCCGGGATTTTATTGCCAGCAGCAAATCAAAGCGCGCGCTAATTTATCCAAGGAGAAATGCGCCTCGCGCATATCTGCAAGGTCCCCCTGCCTGATGGCAAATCCCCGGCCTCCCGTTCACCTTCTGACCTGCCCTTATTCCCTCGCTCTGCCTCGCAACCATGTGACGGGAGGATTTGGCTTAACGTGCGGCGCTCCAGAAGGAAAGGAGGAGAAGGAGCTCAGAGGGACCGGAGGTAATCGCCAGCTCCCGTAGCGCCGGCGCTGGATTAAGCAGGGAGCGCACCCCGGTCCTGTCCCAAACCCTACAGCTCCTGGGGTCCCCCTGCTCTCCCAGCTTAGCAGAGTTTTGGCACAACCACAGCGAGTTCTCAGCTCTCCCACGGTGCCACCCTGTGCCCACAGCCCCTCTGTGGCTCCCTCAGCAGCTGGGACCCCCTGGTGCCCCCCCAGACCAGGCTGCAGCGGTCGCGGTGCTGGGAAGGGTCCCCAGCTGCCACCAGTGCCCACCAGCATCTGCCCCAGCCCCCCGGTGAGCGGCTGGGCACGGCGGGCAGCAGGGGCCAGCTGGAGCAGCTGGGCCACCCGGGGGGGCTCCGGGCGAGAATTAATGAACTTCAGCCTTGCGAGATGCGGAGGGAGGGGGCTGAGGAGCACGGGGCCCCTCCTCGGAGCCCGGGGCTCTGTCGGGAGCAGCGCAGCGAGCGGGTGCGTGGGGAGGATGGAGAGGGCTCTGGCACGGAGCTGCCTTGAAAAGGTGATGTCCAGCCCGAGGGGGGGACCTGCCCAGGTCACCCCGGCTCCACCTGGACTCATCTTCCCCGGGCGTGCAGCTTAGCAGACGGTGGAGGTTTAACCTCGCCGCTGCTGGATGCGGGGGGAGCTCAGCAGGAGGCTGGGGGGGTCCCTGCTGCCCCCACAGGCTCCGCTCTGCTCCCATCGCATCCCAACCCCCCCCCCCCAGCACTCACAAGCTGTGAGAGCAAAGCCAGCCCCTTGCTTGGGGAGCTGAGGGCCCCCCCAGGTCACCGCGTGTGTCCCCCACAACAGGTCTCAGCCCCCAACCTCTGCACCAGGAGCAGACCCCAAAGCCCCCCCCCAGCTTGCCCAGCCCCTCGTCCTGCCGAGCGTGACTCCCCGGGGATTCCCACAGCACCTCCAGACCTGGCTCCCCCCTCAATCTGTCCCACAGGGAGGGATTAGTTCTGCTTTACCAAATCAGACTTTCTATTTCCGTGACTTGTGTCCTCTGCTCCTGTCACCCCGCTGCCCTCGGGGACCACCAGTGGCTCCATTTGGTGGCACCGGGGACCCCACAGCGGGGCAGGGGCTGCGGGGACAGCCTGAGTGCTGCCAGGGGGACGTGGGTCTGCGTGTGCCAGCTGAGCAGCAGATTAGCCAGAAATTTTGGATGCAGCTAGAAATTTTGCCCCCTTCCAGCCCAAACCATGCAGCGACTCCGTGGGGTTTGGGTGCGGAGAGGCAGAGGGGTGCTGGGGCCGGGCAGGGGGGAGGCGTTGGGATCAGAGGGGGGGTGTGGGGGCTGCCCCACGCCCCACGCCAGCCGTGGCACGCTCCTCCAGGAACCAAACAAAGCAGCAAAGCAGCCGGATAACGCGGGATTAAGCGCCCACGTGGGCGAGCATCACCCCCGCCACCACCACCCCGCTGCGTGGGCACCCACGGCACGGGTGGCCTCAGGGTGACATCTAACGGGGAGGGGACAGGGCTGAGGCTGCTGCAAGCAAACCCCCACGGTGAACCCTTGGCAGAGCCCCCTGCCCGCTGTGCCAGGGGGGTGGGCTCCCCCCATTCCCAAAGCAGCCCCCAGGGCGCTGAGCGCAGCCCCCCCCTGCCCCCAGACGCGCACTGCTCGCACTGCTCCGTGCTTTATTTCCAGACAGGTGAGTAGCACGCAGCCCCCCGGGGGCAGCAGCTCGGTGGGGGGGTGAGGATGGTGGTGATGGAGAGGCCGGCACCAGGCTCGCACCCCCCTCCTGGGTGGGGGGGTCCTGGGATTTTGGCAGCTCCGAGCAGCCACGGACCGCGGCGCACCGCGCGCAGCCGGAGCACCACGGGCGCTGTGCCCAGCACAGCAGGGGAGGGAAGGAGGGAGGCAGGGGGGGCTTGGAGGGGGTGTCAGGATGGGGCTGGGTTGCCCCAGGGTGGCTCTGGGCCCCCCCCGTGTCGGGGGCTGTGCGGTTTCCAGCTGCTACAGTCACTCCTGCGCCAAAGAGCCAGCGGCTTAGGACTCTCCATCCACCTGGAAAGGGTCAGGGCTGGCTGGGGAGACCCTGCCCCCGTGAGGGGGGCACCCACAGCACCCCAGGGAGCACCCACGTGAAGCCCCCCCAGGGAGAAGCCCTTCAGGGGGTGCTGGGCTGCAGCCTGGACCCCCAGTGCCCATCTGCCCAGACCCCCATGATGGCCAGCCCCCGACCCCAGCCAGCCCCCAGCACCGTGCCCCATGGCCACACTGGGGCTGGGGGCGCTCAGGACCCCTCAGAGTTGGTGGAGCAGAGAGAAAGGGGGGGAAGAGGGATTGGGGGGGGGTGAGGGCAGGTTGCAGGGAGCCCATGGGTGCTCCAGGACGCTGCTCCCCATGGAGACCCGATGAAAGGAGCTTGGGGCAGGGTCCTCAGAGCCCCCCCCAGCACTGCCGGCTCCTACCTGCATCTGCTCCTGCTTCCTGCTCAGCTCGAAGGTGTCCTCAGCCCGCGGCAAGCCCCAAATTTTGCGCAGCCTGGGCAGGAGGAGAGGCAGCTGCCACCCGCTGCGCCCCCCCCACGTGTCCCCGCGTCCCCGTCCCAGCCAGGGGACGTTACCTGGGCCACAGCCTCACGGCCAGGAGGGCCAGCAGGGCCACGCAGAGCAGGGCGAGGAGCAGCCCGGCCAGGACGGTGAACACCAGGAGGTGGGAGAGCGCTGCGGGAACAGGAGGGGGGGTCCCATCGGTGCCAGGGGCTGGGGACAGGCTGGAAGGGCTTTGGGGAGCCTCCTCCGGGTCCCTTCCCTGTGCCTGCAGCCGCAGCGTGGCCCTGGTGTGGGGTCGGTGCCTCGCCCCCCCATGGGACCCCACGGCTGGGGGGGCGCAGTGTGGCACGGCACGGTGGGGACCTCTTGGGGACACTTGTGCTGGAGTGTCCCTGCCCGTTTTGCTGTCCCAGGTGGGACAGGCTGGCACAATGCTGTGTGCCCCCCCCTGCTGATGGCATCCTGTGCCCCCCTCTGCCAACACGTGGAGGGTGGGGGGCCGTGCACAGTGGCAGACAGCATGAGCATGCTCTGCCGTTCACTGAACCCAGCCCTAGCTCATTTTTTCTCATTTTTCCATCAAGTTTTAGCATTCAGCTCAATTTTCTGCTCGTGGGGGGGGTGCAGCCCTTACACAGCATCCTTCCGCCCCCAGCCGGGGATGCTGCAGGAGCAAAGCCCCCGGGAACGAAGCACCAAAATCAAGCACAAAACGCACGATTTGGCAGCGAATCCTCCTTGCCTTTCCACCTAAAAACGCAAACCTCTCTCGATTATCCCCCACCTCCCCAAAACCTGAAATCCCACAGACCCCCCCCCTCCCCAAAAGCATCCCCGCGGGGTCCGGCCCCACTCACTGCGGGTGTCAAAGTAGGCGCTGGCCGTGGCGTTGCCCAGCGGGTTGGTGGCCACGCAGCTGTACTCGCCCGCGTCCTCGGGCCCCAGGGCCGCGATCTCCAGGCGCAGGGCGTTGAGGGAGGCGGCTGCACGGAGCCCCGGGGTTGAGGCCGTGGCCAGGCTGGAGGCCAGGAGGTGGCCGCGGCGGTACAGGGCGAGGGCGGCGGGGGGGTGGCTGTCGGCCACGCACAGCACGATGCCCACGCGCCCGCTCAGGTTCTCCAGGAAGGTGCTGACGGCCACGGCTCGCGGGGCGTCTGCGTGGAGAGGAGGGGGCTGGCACAGGGAACCCCCTCCCCGGGTTATAGGGAGAGGAATGGGGCAGGGAGAGGGGGATGAGAGCCCCTGCCCCGTCCCCGAGGGGCTGGGGGGCACTCACAGAGCACGGTGAGGCTGAGGGGGGCCGAGGCCGCGCTGCCCCGCACGCCGCTGGCCCGGCAGTGGTAGAAGCCGGCGTCAGCGCTGGAAACGGGGCCGAGGACGAGGACGCTGGCCAGTCCCTCCCGCAGCCACCGGCTGTCCTTGTACCACGTGTAGTTGGCCTCGTCGCCCACCCAGGGCACCGCCGAGCAGTTCATGGTGGCTGTGGCACCTTCGGGGACTTCTGGAGAGGGCTCCACCGTGACTCGGACACCTGAGCAGGAGGAAAGGGTTGTGCAGGCGGCGTGGCACGGGGCTCACGGGGACGCCCCCCGTGCGGCACAAAGCCCCCGGCAGCGCGGTGCTCACCGCTCGCCACGAGGAGCAGGGAGGTGGTCGCGGTGCCGAAGCTGTTGTTGGCTGAGCAGACGTAGAGCCCCGCGTCCCCCGGGCCCAGCGCCACCATCCGCACCCGCAGGGCGTTGGGCTCAGCCTGGACGGAGGCGCGGGGGTCGGAGGGGCCCCGGGTGGAGGCGAGGGGCGCACGGCCCCGCAGCAGGGTGATGTCGGCGGGTGGGTGGCTGTCCACAGTGCACAGCAGCTCGGCTTGCCGCCCGCCCCACGGCTCCACCAGGGACACGAAGGATGGCTCCCGGGGTGCGTCTGCAAGGACAAGGACAGCGCATCGCCTCCTGGCTCCGGGTGGCCTCGGGGGAACGCGTCCCCCCCTCCGGTTTGGGGGTTTTGTGCGCTCGTTGTTGGCTCAGGATGGGGAGATGGGGCACGGTGAGGGTGGGGGAAGCATCCAGCAGCCCCCCCACGGTGGGGCAGCAGCGTGCTCTCCACCACAGCACCACCCAAGGGATTTTAAACCATTTTACCACCAAATCATTTCCTTCCAACACCCCTTTTGGAGCACCCCGGGCACCCTCGGGACGGGACCAGCGGTCACCAGATGGCGACACAGCCCATGCATCCCTCCCCGGCAGCTCTTCCCCGATGTGGGGCATCCCCTGCAGCCCCCCCTTTTTACTCACACAGCACCCTCAGGGCTGCGGGGGGGGCTCTCCGGCTGCGCGCCCCCGTCCGCGCCTGGCAGCTGTAGGCGCCCGCATCGCTGCTGCGCGCAGCGTGGAGCAGGAGCGCGGCACCGGGACCCTCCTGCAGCCAGCGCCCGTTCTTGAACCAGGCGTAGACGGTGCCCAGCTGGGCACCCACATCCTCGCAGCTCAGTGTCACCTCCGTGCCCTCCTGCACCTCGCTCCCTGGCCGCACCACCACCCTGACGGCTGGCGGAGACACGGGGAGGGGGGTGCCGGTGGGTGGCAAGGCTCAGGACCCCTCAACGTGCCCACGGAGAGGCTCGGAGGGGGGCACCGAGCCCCGAATCCCCCTGTGCCACGCTCACCTTGCACGTGGAGGGGCAGGGATGTGCTGGTGCTGCCGAGGGGGCTGCGTGCCCGGCACTCGTATTCGCCCTCGTCCTGCGCCGCGGCGGCCGGCAGCTCCAGGCGCAGCGCGTTGGGAGGGGGCGAGCGTTGGGTGGGGGTCGTGGACGCGCTGGAGGCCACCAGCTGCCCCCCCCGGTGCAGGCTGAGCTCGGCCGGGGGGTTGCTCTCCACGGTGCAGAGCAGGATGACGGCGCTCCCCCCGCTGCTCTCCGCAAAGGCCTTCAGCTGCATGTTCCGGGGGGGGTCTGGAAATGAGAGGGGAGGGGGCTGTGGGCCAAGCCTGGGTTCCCTGCGCCTCCCTCGAACCCAAGCCCAGCTCAGCCACGCTCGGAGCCCGTTCCCACCTGCAGCCCGCTCCTGGTTTGCCCCCCCGGGGGGGGCTCGCACCCGTTCCAGCAACCCCCCCCCCCTCTGCTGGGAACACCAGGGCTGGCGAAATGGCAGCAAAAACCTGGGCCCAGGACACCAAGGTGGTGTTAGCAGCATTTCTCCTGCATTCCCCACCCAAAACGGGGAGCAGGGAGAGACGGGGCACATTTTTGAGGCTCTCTGGGGGGTGTTTCCAGGAGAGCCCCTCGCAGCCACCCCTCGCAGCAGACTCATGAGTTAAAACCATCATTTTCTGCTAAAAAGGCAAACCTTCCATTCTGACTTGCAGCTAGGGTTTTTGCACATCTTTTTTTTAAACAAAGTCTGGTTTTAATTTGCCAAAGCAGGAAAGAAAAAAAAAAATAAAAATCCTGCAATCTTCCCCGAAAGCCAAAAATATTTCTGTTGCAGCTTTGGTTCAAAATGCAAAGAAAAACTTGCGGAGCTGGGAGGAGCAGGGACCTCGCTGGCATTGTCTGGGGGTTTCCAGACAATGGGGGGGTTTCCAGCCCAGGGAAAGGGATGGGGGCTCCGAAGCCCCCCAAAAACTCACAGAGGACGCTGAGGGTGCTGGGGGCCACGCTGCGGGTGCCGGCGGGGCTCTGCACGGCGCAGTGGTAGGAGGCGGCGTCGGCGGCCCCCACGCTGGGGAGGACGATTTGTGGGGCCGTGCCGCTGCTCAGCCTGACCCCGTTCTTGTACCAGGTGTAGCTCAGAGCCTCCTGGGCTGCGCTCTCCACGGCGCACGTCAGGGTCACGGCGTCCCCTTCACGCACCTCCGAGGAGGGTGAGATCCAAACCCGGGCAGCTGAGATGGGAGAAAGAAGAGAGTCAGGAAAAAAAAAATGAGCTCTGGGCTCCAGCACCAGCTGGGATTTCTCTCCGGGCTCCCTCCCTGCTGCTCCAGGCCAGAGGTGATGGGGACACCGCAGCCGTGCCGTGGGGGCTTCCTACAGCCACGCATCCCCCTGGGGACGGAGCCGCAGCTCCTGCTCCATGTGCGCACTGCCCCTGGTCACCCTCCACCCCATAAACCCGCAGCTTCCACCATCCCTTCCCTATTTCCATCCTATTCTAGCTCTCCATCCACACCTTCCCTGCAGCCCCCAGCACCCGGCCTCCCCTTGGCACGCAGCCTCAGCACCGTGCCCACCCCGTGCCCACCCCGTGCCCACCCCGTGCCCACGGCACTCACTCCCTGCCGTGAAGTTGGCGGCGGTGCTGGCGTTGCCGTAGGCGTTGCTGGCGGCGCACACGTACTCGCCCTCGTCCTCCAGCAGCACGTCGCCGATGCTCACCCGCAGGCTGTTGGTGGCCGCGGTGACGCCGAGCCGCGGGGAGGTGGCGGGGGCGGGCAGCGCGCTGGAGGCCACCAAGGAGCCGTCCTTGGAGAGCTCCAGCTGCGCCGGGGGGCTGCTGTCCACCCGGCACTGCAGCACGCCCCGACGCCCCCCCGGCGACTCCAGGAAGGAGCTCAGCACCGGCACCCGGGGGGGATCTGCAGGGCGTGAGATGTGGAGGGGTGTCAGCAAGGCTGGGTCCCTGGTTTTTTTTTGGGTACCCCTCGGGGAACACCCACACGGCGGCACCGCACGTCTGCAGCAAGCACCAGCCAACATTTCCTTGCCAGGAGTTTCCCCCCCCCCATCCCAGAGGGACGATATTTCTCCAAAACTCGAGTCTTGAAAAGTGTAATTAGGTCAAAATGTGTTGTTTTAACAGAACCAAAGCACTGGTTTTTAGCATTTTTTCCCCCTTTTTAAGTGAGAGCAGGCAGCTGGGGTGGCACCGCGCTTCCACCCGACATCCCTGCCTGAACGGGGACACCTCCAGGTGAGGTGGCTTCTACACAGACCACAGCCTTATCAAGGAGACACACTCCCCAAACACCCTAATTTTAAAATTTTGGTGTTTTCTCCGGGCAGACAATTCTTTACTGAACATGTGGAGCTGTTCCTAAACCCCAGCCTGCCTGCACGGGGGCCATCCGAGGACGGTGCCAGCAGCAGGAGCCGTGCCGCGCCCCGCTGTGCGCCCCGTGCCACGTCCCACCCCACGTGCCGTGTCCCCACCACCCCTCCGTGCCCCCAGGGATGCCGTCCCCTCGCCCACTCACACAGGACACGCAGGCTGACGGCCGGGGAGATGCTGGCACCGGTCCCCGCGGGGCCGTGGGCTTTGCAGTGGTAGGAGCCCGCGGCAGTGCTGGCGACGTGGGGCAGCTCGAGGACGCGGCCGGGGCTGTCCTCCAGGCGCTTGCTGTCCTTGTACCAGGAGAAGGTGGCATCCTCCTGAGGCTCCCCCGGCACCTCGCACGTCAGGGAGACGTCGTCCCCTTCCAGCACCTCCGCCGACGGCGAGATGAGGACGCGGGCGGCTGAGGGAGGAGGGCAGAGCGTGGGGGACACGGCGCCTCGCAGCATTTTGGTGCCCCTGCTGCATCCCGAGGCTGCTGCTGGGCGTTTAGATCAGGGACCCAGCACCATCCCCAGGGGATGCTCCGGCCTCTCCCCAAAAAAGTGACCGGTCCTGAGCACCGGGGTGAGGGGAGCAACCCTTGGAGACCCTGCCCAGCTGCTGCGCACGGGGTTTTAGCACAAACCACAATCCCTGGGGGCAGCAGGATTTGCACCCCCTGCAGAAATCTGGCCACATTCTGCCATCTGGACACAGCCTGAGATGCTCGGTGACATTTCTCTGCCCCGTTGTCCCCATGGGACAGCCAGAGCCATCATCCCTCCCCACCCGACGGCTGCGCAGAGGCAGGAGCGATGCGGAAAAGGTCACAGCCCTGCCCCACGGCGCTTGCCACCCACCAGGACTGGCCCCAACGCCCGTGCCACACGCCCCTGCTCACCCTGCACACGGAAATCGAGGTGCTGGGACACGGTGCCGTGCGCGTTGGTGGCGGCGAGGCTGTAGGTGCCCTCGTCTGCCAGCGTGACATCCCGGATCTCCACCCGGAGCGCGTTGGGGGTGGCCGTGGCGCTGACCCTCGGGTTGGTGCCGTGCCCCGTGCCGCTGGAGGCCACCAGCTCCTCGCCCCGGTACAGGGCCAGCTGGGCAGGGGGGTTGCTCGCCACCGAGCCCTCGAAGATGGCCAGCCGGCCCCGCTGCGTCTCCAGGAAGGCGGTGAGCTGAGGGTCCCTCGGGGGGTCTGCGGGGGACAGCGCGGCCATTGCACGGATACCTGTCCCCAGCGCCACCACGGGAGGGGACGGGATGGGACAGGACGGGATGGGACAGGACAGAGACCACCTGAGCAGCACAGCTCATGCTCAGGGGCGGCGGTGTGGGGGGCTGCAGGGTGACCTCCGGGGGGCACGGGGGGGGACGGATCCCCACGGGGACACCCCAAGGCACTCAGACCCGAGCACCTGCACCCACCCAGGCTGTGGGCATGCCCCTGGGGGCCACGAGTCTGAGCAGAGGCACTTGGGTGTAGGCTACGTGTAAGCACCAACCCCAAGGTAATAATAAAGGGGGTGGCGTGCACATCTCTGCGTGCCCACCCCCCTGCGCTCCATGCGGTGCCACAGGGCCCCTGCACCAGCACAAGGGCGGTCCCTGCCCAGAGAAGAGCAGGGGCAGGCAAAAAGCTGCTCCTGCAGCACATGACAGACCCCAAAACACGCCCAGCACGCCAAATATCCCCAGTGCCCCAAACATCCCCAGTGCCCCAACACCCCCAGCACTCCAAATATCCCCAGTGCCCCAAACATGCCCAGCACCCCAAACATCCCCAGAACCCCAAAGATCCCCAGTGCCCCAAACATCACCAACACCCCAAACATCCCCAGCACCCCAACATCCCCAGTGCCCCAAACATCTCCAGCATCCCAACATGCCCAGTACCCCAACATGCCCAGCCCCCCAACACTCCCAGCACCCCAAATATCCCCAGCTCCCCAACATCCTTGGCACCCAAACATCCCCAGCACCCCAAACATGCCCAGCACCCCAAACATCCCCAACACCCCAAACATCCCCAGCACCCCAAATATCCCCAGCACCCCAAATATCCCCAGTGCCCCAAACATCCCCAGCACTCCAACATGTCCAGCACCCCAAACATCCCCAGCACCCCAACATGCCCAGCACCCCAACATGCCCAGCACCCCAAATATCCCCAGTGCCCCAAACATCCCCAGCATCCCAACATGCCCAGTACCCCAATATGCTCAGCACCCCAACACCCCCTGCACCCCAAATATCCCCAGCACCCCAAATATCCCCAGTGCCCCAAATATCCCCAGCACCCAAACATCCCCAGCACCCTAAATATGCCCAGCACCCCAATATCCTGTGTCCCAAACATCCCCAGCACCCCAACATCCCCAGCCCCCTGAACATCCCCAACACCCCAGACATCCCCAGCACCCCAAATATCCCCAGCACCCCAAATATCCCCAGTGTCCCAAATATCCCCAGCACCCCAACATCCCCAGCACCCCAAATATCCCCAGCTCCCCAACAACCCCAACACCCCAAACACCCCCAACACCCCAAACATCCCCAGCACCCCAACACCCCCAGCCCTCCAAACACCCCCAGCCCCCCAACACCCGCAGCCCCCCGCACTCACACAGCACATCCAGCAGGACGGCGGCAGAGCTCCGGCTGCTCCTCCCGGTGGCGGCGGTGCAATGGTAGAGCCCCGCGTCCCCCCTCACCACCCGCTGCAGCACCAGGGATGCATCGGGGTGGGGGTCCCGGGGGATCCTCTGCCCGTTCCTGTACCAGGTGACGTTGGGCAGGCTCGGGGACCCGCTGCTCACTTGGCACGTCAGGTTGGCGGCGCTGCCTTCCAGCACGTGGGGAGATGGGGACACCACGACGCGGGCGGCTGAGGGCAGGGAGAATCGGGGGGGGGGCTCAGCTGCAACACCCGGAGCTGCAGGGGGGCTGCGGGGCTGCAAGGCTGGATATTTGGCCCCGGTACCACGATGCCATGAGCGGCACCACTGTGGGCACCTCTGCAGGTATGGCACCAGAAGGCACCACGGTGCGCACAGCACCCAGGACCACTGGGAGCCCATGGGGGGGGTCCACAGGGGCTGCTGGCTGCACCCTCCCCTTGCTGCACCCGCTGTAATCCCGCTGGTGGCCCTCCCCAGCACCCTGAGCACACTTTTGGGGATCGATGCTGTTTGCTACCCTGGGTGTCATGTGCTACCGGCACTCCCTCTGCCTTTATGCATGCAGTACCCACCCCTCTCCGGCACCCCTCTCCTGGGGTCTCACCCTGGGGGCTCAGACCCCGGTACCCCCCTCCCCATCACCGCACTCACTCTCGGCACTGAAGGCCATGGAGGCGCTGGCGTTGCCCTGCGTGTTCCTGGCCTGGCACACGTAGGTGCCCTCGTCCTCCAGCACCACGTCCCGCAGCTCCAGCCTCAGGCTGTTGTACGAGGCCGTCGCCTGCAGCCGGGGGCTGGGGGCCGGGGGGCAGCCCCCCGTGCAAGCCAGTGCCTCTCCTCCTCTCCACAGGGTCAGGTTGGCCTCCGGGTCACTCTGGACGGAGCACTGGATGATGCCCAGCTGCCCGCCCTGGGTCTCCAGGAGGGAGCTCATCACCGGCTGCCGGGGGGGGACTGCAGGGACAAAGCAGCGTGGGTGAGAACGGGACCGTGGGGTTAGGGGAACCCCCAAAGCTGGGGGTCCCACATCTACCTGCTCTCCACGAGGGACCCGCGGTGTCCCCAGCATCTCCGAGGGCACTGCTCCGCCCTGGGTTGGGCACATTCCCTGCCGTGCCTACAAAATCCCACCCCTCCCTCAGCACCGAGCCTTCCCAGCCGTCTTTCCCTTGTTTGCTATCAGGGAAGGTTTTAATTATTATTTTTTTTCCCAGCACAAAATATCTGGGAGGCGAAATCAACCCGGGATATATCTGTCACAGAGCAACTTGGGCGCATTTTGTGCTCTGAGGACCACGAATTGATATCACGGGATGCTCCCGGGAATCAGGGGCTTTTCTGGACTTCTCCCCCCCCCCAAATTGTTCCCCCACGGCACTCACAGAGCACCCGGAGCGTGACGGCCGCCGAGCTGTGGCTGTGGCCGCTGCCCTGTGCCAGGCACTGGAAGGCTCCAGCGTCGGCGCTGCGGATGGCCGGGAAGCTCAGCGCCGGCTCCACGCCCTCGCGCAGCCACCGGCCGTTCCTGTACCAGGTGAAGGTGGCCGGCCCCACGTCACCCGGCACCTCGCAGCTCAGGGTGACGGCTTCCCCCTCCCGCACCTCCGCCGAGGGCTGGATCTGGACTCTGGCAGCTGCCGGAGGGAAGGGAGAGGTTGGGGAAACCTCTGCTGCGGAACCTTTGCCCCCGCCTGCACAAATCCCCCCCACGCCACTGCCCTGCAGCGCACGGATCCGGGCAGCCCCCGGATAAGGGGTCATAAAGCTGGGGGGGGGGTCTTGGAGGGTGGTGGCAGCCCGCTGGGATGTCCCCTCCTGAGCCGTTCTCACCAGTTCTCTGCCACCAGCAGGGACCCACGGGTGCCTTCTGGGGACGTCAGCTCCCTCCAGGCACCCGCGTTTGGTGAGAGGAGCTGGGCCAGGAGAGGGGCTGGGGGGGCGGTGAGGGGCTCGGATGAAAACCAACCCAGCTAACAGCACCACCCAGAGCAGCAGTATTTCCTTTGGAACCTTGAGGTCCGTCCTGGTTTTTTTTGGCATCCTAAGGAAGATGCCCCTGGGTGTGTTTTTGGGGGCTTTCCCCTCCTCCCCGTTCATTGCTGCTTCCCCTCCACCCCACATCTCCAAAGCAGGGGCTGTGGTGAGAGGGAGCAGGGACCCGCTCCGTGCCCGGGTGCTGCTCCCAGGGGGATGCCACAGCCCCACAGAAACACCCCAAAACCCCCATATCCGTGCCCCCAGCCCCAGGGATGGGAGCCAGCAGGGCACAGCAGGACTCACTGTGGGTGACGAAGGGCTGCGTGGCGCTGGCGTTGCCCAAGGTGTTGGTGGCGGTGCAGCGGTACTGCCCCCCATCCTGCGGCCTCACGCCGCGGATCTCCAGGCGCAGGGCGTTTCGGGAGGCCGTGATGGCCAGCCGCTGGCTGGGGGCCACCTGCGAGCCGCTGGTGGCCACGAGGTTGCCGTCGCGGTACAGCGCCAGGGTGGCCGGCGGGCGGCTGTCCACCGAGCAGTGCACCACAGCCAGCCCGCCGCCCTGCGGCTCCTGCAGCAGCGTCAGGGAGGGGGTCCTGGGGGGGTCTGCAGCACAGGGAGGGGGGCTCAGAGGTTGTGCCAGACCCCGGAGAACCCCCAGCATCGTGGCCCTACCTGGGCGGCCGCGCGCACGTCGTGGCCACCCGGCACAGCTGCGCCTGGGAGCTGCTTTCCCCCTGACGTCAGCGGGTTATATTTATGAGCAGCGATGTCAGAGCCAAACCCAGGGCTATTTTATTTTTCCCCTGACTTGCAAAAAGCTCCCGAGCTGTCATTATCCCCGCTGGCTCCTGGGGTGGTGACCCCCGAGCGGCGTTTCGGAGGGGCGCGAGGTGCCAAAAGGAGCGGACGGGGGCACCTGGAGCAGGGAGCTCCCCGACCGCTGCCTTCACGGGGCTCATGGCCAGGAACTGCTGCATCTGCAGCATCCCTGCGAGGCTGAATCCCCCTTCCCAGCTGGTGTCTGGGGGCTCGCACGGTCCCTGGCACTAAGGGATTTTGCCCACGGGGACCCCCCATCCCCGCAGGGTGATGGCCAGGGCCACGAGCACTCACAGGTCACGCTCAGGCTGACGGGCTGGGACGTGGTGCTGCCCCGGTCGTTGGTCACCTTCACAGAACCACAGAACCACAGAAAATCAGGGAATCATCCAGAACCACAGAAAATCAGAGAATCATCCAGAACCACAGAAAATCAGGGAATCATCCAGCTTGGAAGAGACCTGCGAGGGGTCTCCGGGTCCGACCTCACCTTGCAGGAGTAGAAGCCGGCGTCGCTGGTGGCCACGCGGTGGAAGAGCAGGGTGTGCGCGGGGCCGTCCTGCAGCCAGGCGCTGTTCTTGTACCAGGTGTAGTTCAGCTCCTGGCCCTCCCTGCCGGGCACGTCGCAGGACAGCTCCGCGCTCGTCCCCTCCCGCACCTCGGCCGCGGGGCTCACGGAGATCTCGGCGGCTGGAGGAGATGGGAGCTCGCTCAGGGCGGGCAGGAGACCCCCAGCAGGCTGGGCACAGTTTTTTTTCCAAATTTAATGCCCCCCGGAGTGAAATCCTCTGCGTGTGCAGCAGCATCCTGCGGCACTGAGGACCTGTGCTTGGGCACACGCAGGGGTACCCAAGGTACCCAACCCAGGGCAGACGCTTTCCCACCCGGTCCCATCAGCCTGGTTCCCTCTGCCCCTTTCAGACTGGGTGCCCCCCCCCCAGCCAGCAGCCCCCCGGCACTTACAGAAGACGTAGAGCATCACGGGGGGCGCCGTGCCGGCCCCGAGGGCGTTGTGGGCTTCGCAGCGGTACTGCCCGTGGTCCGCCCGCCGCACGCCCCGCAGCGTCAGGGTGCGCTCGGTGCCCGCGGCGGCTCCGTCCTTGTACCACTGGTACGCAGACACCGGGGGGTAGCTGCTGTTCACCTCGCAGCTCAGAGACACCGTGTCCCCCACCAGGATGTTCTGCGCCGAGGGGGTGATCGACACCCTGGTGCCTTTGGGGGCGTCTGCGGGGGGGGACACAGAACGGCGCGGTGGCGGAGGGGAAGCCGGGAGGGACCCCGGGGATGCTGGCGCGGAGGTGGTGCCAGGGAAAGGAGCCCTGAGAGGCTCTGCACGGAGGAAAGGAGCAGGGAAAAGGGGACAAAGATGGGACAAAGGGGGCAGAAAGGGTGGGGGGGGGCACTGCAGGATGGCTGTGGGACCTGAACGGGCGCTGGTCGTGGAGGAGCAGGGAGGGAGAAGCTGGGGACGCCCTGCCCCACGTACGTCTCACCCGCAGGACCAGCTCCCCGCTCGCCTTCTGGGAGCCGTGGAGCACCTCGCAGAAGAGCTCCCTGGCGTGGTCCTTCCAGGAGAAGGAGGTGGCGAGGCTCAGGTGGTGGCCGACCCCGCTGGTGTCCAGCTGCAGGCGGGGGGACACGGAGGAGACGCGCTCATCGTAGCCCGCCCAGCGCAGGGCCACGTCGCTCAGCGGGCAGACGTAGGGCGTGGAGCACTGGAAGGTGACCTCGGTCCCCTCCGGCACCTCCTCGCTGGCCGCAATGCTGGGGCGCTCCAGGACATCTGGGGATGGGGAGCCGAGGATGGGACGTCCTCACGGGATGGGTGAGCACGGGGTCCAGGGGGGATCCCCGCCGTACCCACCCGAAACTCTCAGCTCCACGTCCCGCTCCGCCGACCACCGGTCCCCGTCGACGATCTCGAAGCGGAATTTGTAGGGCCCGCTGTCCTCCGGGGTCACCCCCCGCAGCAGCAGGGTGCAGTTGTGAGCAGCCGGGTCCCCCAGGAGCTGGGCTCGGTCCCGAAACCTGGCGTCCACGTCCTGGCCCTCCGAGTGGTACACCACGGTCTTCTGGTTGCTGTAGTCCTTGTACCAGATGGCCACGATGCCTTTGCTGGCCGAGATGCTGTCGGGGAAGCTCAGCGTGCAGGGGAACACCACGCAGGAACCCGTGATGCTCCTCAGCTCGGGGGGGTAGCTGACACCCCAGGAGCCGTGGGCTGGCGGAGGGAAGGCAGGGGGTGGGCGATGTGGGGTGGCTGCTGGTGCCCGGCCCCCCTGTGCCACCCCACGAGCCCCGTGCCACTGAGCCCTGACCCCATCCAGCCAGGGCCACGGTGGGGTTTGGGAGAGGAGAGCTGAACCCTCCAGGAGAAAGCGTGGAGGTGGAGATAAATGGGGAAGGGTCCGGCCGGGGGCGATGCTCCCAGCGGGGCTTCCAGCAGGCAAAAGGCACCGGCTGGACTCAAAGGGCAAAGGCCCTAAATCACCAGGAAGAAAAGGGGAAATTTGCCCTCTGAGCCCTTCAGGAGCTCGTTTTCTTGCCCCTCTCCCCGTCTCCAAGTCCTTTCTCCATGCCCTGGCTGTCCCACTGCTCCGTGGGCTGGTGTGGTGGCACCTTACCTGGGGGCACAAGGCTGGCCATGAGGACGAGCCACTGCAGGGGGGACGTGGCCACAGCCATGGGGCAGGCGGAAGAGGGCAGGAGGTGTTGGGTCGTTGCGCAGCAGCCCCTGATGGCAGAAGGGTGGCCAAAAGCCCCAGAACCACGTTAATCCACCCAGCCCCGCGTCACCTCCTGGCCCCAAGCCTCCTCACCCCGTGCTGCTGTCCCCAGGGGGTGACCCCACAAGGTGACCCCATTGCTGTCCCCAGCAGCCACCGCACAGCCCCGGCGCGCCGGCAGCGGTCGGGATTAAACAGCAGCAGCACTTCCCCCTTTTTGTGCTCTTCCCACCAGTATTTTGTTCTCTGCGGGCTGGGATTTATTAATCGAGGGGAAGGAAGCGCCGCGGCCCCCGGTTTCATTTCCCTGCCTCCCCTCCCGGTTTCGTTTTCTGGCGGTGGGGCCGGGGTCCCGTGAGCAGCCAAATGGGGGCACTGGGGCTTGGGGCTGGGGCACGGCAGCTCTGCATACCCGAATTTTGGCTGGGTTCAGCAGGAATTGATAAGCTGAGTGTGTGGGATGGAGCAGCAGGGGCTGAGCGTCGCCACCCCGACACCGACAGGACGGTGCCTGGATGGGAGAAAGGAAAATGGGGTGAGTGCCCCGGGGAAGGAGCTGTAACCGTCCCCTCTGCGCCCACACGCACCCATCTCTGCAGGACAACCTCCAAAATCCCCTCACAGGCAGTGCCAGGCAGATGCCAGCTCCTTGGGGCGCTGCTGGAGCTCACCCGTGGGGCTGGGCACCAGGAGGGGCACGGGGAAACTGCCCGGCACCCCCGGCACCTGATCCTACAGCACCCCCATGGCAAACCTCGGCCCCCAGGGTCCCCTTCCCAGCCCCTCCGTGCCCCAGGGGGCAGCAGCATTACCTCGGTGTGACACTGAGGGTCTGTGTCCCCCGGTGGTCCCCGTGTCCCCCGGTGGTCCCGTCCCGGTGGTCCCCGTGTCCCCGGCGGGCACCCGGCTGTGCCTCCGTGCCACCGCCTGTCCTGCGCGGCCAGGGGCGAGCTATTTATCTGCAGCGGGGGGTAAGGAGCCCAAATCCACATCACTTCCCCGTTTAGGGGTTTGTCCCTGCCTCCAATTTTGGGAAGTGGCTGCCACCGTCAGCTCTTTCTGGCCTTTTCCTGATGGGGGCTCTTTTGGGGCGGGCGCCAAGGTGGTCCACACGGGGGGATTTTGCAGGGGTCCAGGCCCCCAGTCCTATTTGGGGGGGTGAATGCTTTTGCACCCCCTCAGCATCTTTGTGCCGTGCCCGGCCCAAATTAGGGCACGGGAGGCACCGACCCACTCCAGGGTCCAGTTTTAGGGCCCCGCTGGGTGCCCCTGATCCGTGCCGCTGACCCTGCTGTGGGGTGAGCCTCACAGAGAGCCCCCAGGGCAGGCACAGCCCCCAGGGCAGGCACGGCCTCCCTACAGCCCTGGGCACCCCCATGCCAACTTTTGGGGCTCAGCCACCCCCAGAGCCAGCCTGGGGCCCCACAGAAACCAACGGGGCCGTTCCGTTGCTGCCCGTGCCGGTGCCGCAGCACGCGGGGACCGCGCTGGTGCTGGGCTGCTGTGGGACAGGGCCCAGGTCCAGCATCTGCTGCAGGTGCCTGGATTTAGGGGAAGGGAACCTGCAAGGTGGCACGGGCGCTCTGTGTGTTTGAGGACTCGCAGTCTGCTTGATTTTGTGCAAAAAGGGCTGGGGACGTGAGAACTGTGAGCCCCGGGGTGCTGCGTGCACCCTGCAGCACTCCACAGCTCCCCACAGCACCCTACAGCTCCCTGCAGCACCCCAAAGCTCCCTGCAACTCCCCACAGCACCCCAAAATTCCCCACAGCATCCCAAAGCTCCCCACAGCACCCCAAAACTCCCCACAGCACCCCAAAGCTCCCCGCAGCTCCCCACACAGCGTTCCGGTGCTGGTGCCAGGCTGGGCTCACCGCAGCGTGGGTGCAGAGGCAGTGCCAAAGCCACCCCCCCCCGCACAGCCCCCTGCCAAAATACCCTGGGGAAACGGCCCCCCGAGCGGGCAGGGGGGCAAAAAGCGGGGCTGCTGCCCCCGGGGACCTGCAGGGACCTCCTTGCATCAGCACCGTGCGTTTCCAGCTGGGTTGGAGCCGCATTCCCTGACGCAGCGCCGCCAAACCCTGAGTCTGCAAGGAGCCAGCTGGCCCCGACGCAGCCCCAGCTCCAGCCCCTCTGCGTGGGCTCCCTCTCATCAATTTTTTTGGAGCCCCACAGCCCCCACACACCCACGGCTCCACTTGCTCAGCTCCGGGCACTGCTGGGGCTGGATGCGCCCCTCGCCACACCGCAGCCTCGTCCCAAACCTGTCCCCACAGCTGCCCAGCGCTGCGATCCCCCTGCCCCAGTGGATCCAGCTCCTTTTGGACATTTTAACCCCCCCCTGGGTTTCAGGCACCCGGGGGCTCCCCCAGAGCCGTGTCCCAGCAGCAGGGCTCGATGTCCCCGCACGGCGCTGGGCACGCAGAGGGTGCCTGCCCGCGGCACCGAGCCTTCATGTGGGCAGCGGGCAGCATCCAGGCTGGAGCCCCCCCCGGTTCCTCTTTCCAGGTCCCAAGACACGTCCCGCGAGGGTGGTGCCCGTCTGGAAAGGGGAACCTCCTGGGGAAAGCGAAAGAAATGCAGGCGATGAGTGAAAGTCTGCGCTGTGCCAGCAAAGCCATGCCCCGCGCACGGGGACAGGAGCGGCGGTGGCCACCTGGGGACCAGCACCCAGGAGGGTGCTCCCCCAGGGAGGCTGCTGGGGCCCCAAAATCAGCTTCGGGTCCTTCCCCTGCTGTCAGTCGTGGGGGGCTGCAAGGTCACAGGTGGCCGGGGTCGGGGTGGGCACAGGGCACTGGGGGAGCTGCCGTCAATGCTGGAGGAGAGCGGGGCCCCAAACCCAGAGCCCTGTGCAGATGGGGGATGGAAGGGCTGGGGAAGGACTGGGGAAGGGCTGGGGAAGGGCTGGGGAAGGGCTGGGGAAGGGCTGGGCATTCCCTAAAGCTGCCAGGGAAAAAGGGAAGGGGAGCCTGGAAATCTCCAGGCGGAGGCAGGCTGCTCCTTCTCCCCAGAGGAATGCGGGACGCCAGGCATACCAGAGCGATAAGGGGCTGCCCGGGGGCATCCCAGGAATTTGGGGTGTGAGGTGTCGGAGGGAGGAGAGGAAACACCGTGGAAGAGCATAAATCAGCAGCAGTGATGTGCAGGGGGGGGAATGTGCAGGGGTGGGAATGGGGGGAAAAAATTTCCCCATGAAAAAATGCGCCCTGTGCCCGTCTGCCTGCACGGGGGCACCGCAGGCAGGACGGGCTCAAGGCCAGCTGAAAGCCCCCCAGGAGTCCCAGATAACAGTCCTGGGGGCAGAGAGGGGAAGGAAAGCATCTCGGCTGACATGGGGCTGACATCAGGGGGCATGGGGCTGACGTTGGGGGGCCGGGGCAGCTCCAGGACCCTGCCCTCCCCCCGCAGCCAGAGCCCCACAGGGACACCGGGGGCCCCCCGGGGCCGTGCTTTTCTTGGCAGTGGGGTGGGTGCGAGGCCCCCAGGCTCTGGGCCAGGCTCTGCTGAGCAGATTTGGGTCGGGGGGGGGATTGCAAGCCCCCAGCTGGAGGCGAGTGCAGGGGCCCCGGGAGGGGACAGGGACAGGGCTGCGGAGCTGGGGACGCTGCGGGTTTGGATTCCGGGAGATTTGGAGGCGCACACGGGTAGCAGCCGAGCGGGCTTTCAAGTGCAAAATCAATTCCGACTGCTCGAACCCGGCTCGCACATCTCGGGGACGCCGGGGCCGAAGCGGTTTCGGCGCACGGCGAGCCAGCGATCCCCGAGGGTTCATTAGCTCGCGCGCCAGGCGGGGGCTGCTGCAAGGAACGGGCGAGAAAATCGCCTTAAATTATTCCTGCGACACGAGGAGCGATCAAGCCCGAGGCGACGTGATGTGGCACACGCTGAGCTGCGGGGGCTCTGCCCGGCCAGGCGAGGGGGAGCGCAGGGCAGCGCCCCCGCACCTCCGGGGATGCACCCAGAGCCTAAAATTGGGGTCAAAATGTGGGGTTTGCGCACGCGGGGGTGGTAACAGGGATGGGGACCCTCGCCTGGTGACACCGCTCCGCTGCCAGGGTTTGGTGAGGGTGAGGAGGTGCCCAAAAGCCTCGGACCCCTCGGATCCATGGGGATAGCACCGGAGGAGCTCCCTTGCCACTGGGGGCTCCCCGAGAACCAGGAGCTTGCCCCCCACAGGGGACAGGGCCGGGGGGGACGAGGGGGGGGCTGTGGGGAGGGCGGAAAGGGGAAGAGGGAACCGCAGCCTCGTCCCCAGGCTGCCGCGCACGTGACACCGAAACCCAGGAAAGCCAGCGCCCCGTGGCACCCCCAAAAACCACAGCCCAGGGGTCTGGGGGCTGTGCAGGGAGGAGGTGAGGCCCCCCCCCCGAGGGGGGGTTGTGCCTGCTGAGAGCCCCCCGTGGGTGAGGAGCGGCTCCCTGTGCACGCGGGGTTCTGCGGACATCAGCAGTTTTGCGCCGCAACGCTGCGATTTGGGGATTCTTTGGGATTTCTGGAGGCGAGGAGGCCGCCTCTGCCAAAACTGCTGGCAGCGAGACGCGGACTTGGAAACTGGAGAAGCATTTTGCTCGGGGAATTACGAGAACGCAGCCCGAAAAGGGGGATTTTTAAGGCGTCCTCTCAGGGTGCAGGGCTGGAGACGCGCAGGGTGCCCCCCTCCCCGTGCCAAGGCAGCGAGGGGACACCCCGATGGGTGGGGAGGGGACACAGGGGGGGGGCTCGGGGACATCACAGCCCCCAGGGTGCCCTCCTCGTGCCGAGCAGCTTGCCGGGGAGGCTGCTGTCAGCTCGATGTCCCCGACACGGCTCTCGTCTGCATCGCATTACGGGCAGCGCCGGCGCCGCCGGGAGCGGGTTACGGACACCGCGCACGCCTGGCAGCGCCCGCGGCGTCCTACAGAGCTTTGCTTCTGCTCCTCCGTGTTCTCCCCTCACGCTTATCAGGACCTGAAACATCAACGTGCAGCGCGGGGCTGGGGGAGACACGTGGAACCCCCCCCCCGTGCGGCTCAGGGCAGGGGGAAGGGGTCCCTTGAGCTCCCAGCCCCATGCGCCCATGGAGGGAAGGGACTCGTGGATGGGGCAGGGGGCTTGGGGAGGGGGCCTGAGGACCCAGTATGGAGACCGGGTGCCCCATGCACACAGCCCGATGTGAATCGGGCCCCCCCATTTGGGGACCAATACAATATTTGTGACACTTTGGCTGTTCCATACCCCCCGGTGGCACCAGGAAGCCACCGAGGACAGCTCAGGGGATGGGGACCCAGGGGGACCCCCTGGGATGGCCAGGACCCCCTGGGAACCCCCCAAACCCCATAGGGATGGCCCTAAACCAGCTGCAGGAGCCGTTCCAGCCCCTCCAGGCCCCGTTACGACACCGCAGGAAGGAGCTGAATTTGGGTTATTTTTAGTGGTCTCCTCAGCCGAGCTGCTGCCCGGCACGGGGCTCCCGGAGCAGCTCGGCCACACGTGCCGGCGTCATCGGGGACATTTCTGTGACAGGGACAAGGTGCTGGAAAGCCCCAAACCCGGGCATTTGGCACCGTGCTGCTGTGAAAGTGCTTGGTCTGCACCACCCGCCTGCTGCCGGGGCAGGGAAGGGGGCAGCGAAAGGATGAGGCTTTTTGGGCAAAACCCGCTGCCAGGTGGTGCCGGTGGTGGGTGACCCGGGAGCTGGGGACAAGGGACACGGCTCCGGGTGGCCCGGGGTGGGCAGGGGAAGGGGAGAGGCCAGGAAGGAAGCTGGCAGCACCCGACCTGGGGACAATGTGGCCCCGGGGAGCAGAGGTCCCGCGAGCAGAGCGCAGGCGCCGTGCGCGGCCGCGGCTTCCTGGGGAAGTCGGGAGTGGGTGTGCGTGGGGAGGGGGGGGCGCAGCGTGCGTGTGTGGGAGCGTGCACGGGTGTGCATGAGTGTGGCAGGGCAGGGCGGGCGTGCAGGGCTGGGAGCTGGCCACGGGGGTGTGCCAAGAGGGGGCTGTGGGGGTGTTTGGGGGGGTCCCCTGTGGGATCCTGAAGGTGTCCGGGGGGCTGCGCTGCTCCCCTGGCAGGGGGTGAGGGGGCACAGCTCCATGAACGTGGCCCCATTCTGGGCCAGAAATGGGCGTTTCAGCACCGAAAATCTTGGCACAGGGGTGCAGCAACCTCGGGGCGCCCCCGCTGCAGCCCCCCCCCCCGGCACCAAGGGCTGGGAGCAGACGGGGCGCACAGGAGGGAGGCTGAAGGAGGGAAGAAGGAAAACCTTTCTGCCATGGAAACCAGAGCCATGGGCCCCCCACCACCCACGGTGCTCCCCCCCCCCGAAGCAGTGGAGGCCGTGCTGACCAGGCACCGAGGCACGGGCAGCTGCTGCCCCCCCCCACCCCGTCCCAGCCCACGTGCCCAGTGACCGCAGATGCCCCCGCGCTCTCCGGTGCTTTCCTTCGCCCCAGGGTTCCCGTGGGAAGCTGGAGGAGGGGGTCACCAACCCAAAAAGCCCCCCCCAGGGCAGAGCTTGGCAGCTGTGGAGCAGCAGGCAGGAGGGTGGAGGGGCGCGGGGGGGCTGGCTGAGCCCCGGCACCCCCAGGGTAGGGGCAGGGGGGTTGGGGCTGTGCCCAAAACCCCCAGCGGGTGCTGCCCGGGGGACGTGGAGCTGCAGGGAGCAGCGGGGCCGGGTGGGATGGGAAGATTTGTAAAAGGGTCCTGGGTGCCTGGACAACAGCAAACTGGGTGAACTGGGCTGCGAGCACGTCCAGAGGAGCAAACAAACTGGGTGAACTGGGCTGGGTGCGTGCCCAGAGGAGCAAACCGGACGGGGCTGCGTGCCCAGGGGCTGCGGGCAGGGGGGCGCGGAGCCACCCCAAAAGCAGCAGGGGGTGCCCGAGTGGGGGTCACCCAGCCTGGCCTGCCCCCCTGTTTTGCCTCCCCACCCCGTACAGGGAGCTTTTTGTGCCCTGGCCGGGGGCTGGGGGTGGCCCCCAGCTCTGCGCTCTCCTCCCGTGCTTCCTGCGGCAGCGCTCGGGGCCCTCCTCAATGGCCGGAAAGCGCTACCTCATCCCTTGACGGGGAGCCAGGGAAGCAAACACAGGCGTAGCCCCCCTCCGCCCCTCTCTTCCCCTCCTCTTCCCCTCCCTCCAGCAGCTTCCCGGCTCCGGGTGGGGCTGGGACCCCCCCCTGGCACTGGGGGCACAGCCGGGACCCCTGCGCCCCCGCAGCTCCGGCACCGGGGTCCCCCGGAGAGGTGCCCTTGTGCAAGAGCGCACACCTGTGTGTGTGTGTGTGTGTGTGCGTGCAGGACAGACAGACAGACAGACAGACAGCACGCCGGGGCACCCCAATACCCCAGGACCCCTTGGGACAGCCAGCGGGTGAGACCCCTGATGGGCAGCCCTCCGAGCGGTGCGCAATGCGCAGGGACTGCCACCAACACAGGGACTGCCACCAACGCCAGCACCCCCAGGCACAGCTCGCCCAGCCCTGCTCACCCTCACCCCCCCGGGCAGCCCCCCCAAATATTCGACACCCTTTTGGCAATGCCAGGCTGGTGGCACGCAGAGGTGGCACGCTGCCTGGCAGCTCTCGGGGCCAGGGGACACGGCTCCGTGCCCCGGCCAAAACCCTAAATTGGAGAGCAGGGAGCGGGGACAGCCACGGGGCTGGGGGAAATGGGGCTGGGGGGGCTGGGGGCACGGACAGACGGACAGGCAGGACAGACACACAGGCGGGCAGGGACAGAGGGCTGCGGGGACATGGCCAGGACCTCTGTGGGTGTAAAGAGCGGCACAAACCCGGGGAGAAATGTGCGTGGGGGGGACACGGGCAGCTGAGGGAACCGAGGGGCAGCCGTGCCCGCAGGCACTGAGGGGAGAGGGCCGAGGGTGCCCCCCAGCTCCCCGCAGCCCCCCAAGCTGCTCTGTGGCCTCGGTCCCACCCCGGTGTGGGGAGGCCGGGGCCGAGCCGAGGTTTCCGTCCCGGCCCTGCCTCCTCCTCCTCCCCGCTCCCACATCTGCAGCTGGAATTGCAATTTGAACCACTGCCGGGGCTGGGCCGGGAGGGAGCGGGGAGCGGAGGAAGGCGCCTCGGGAAGCCAGAGCGAGGAGCAGGGCGGTGGGGCCGGGCACGGGCAGGAGGGGGCTGGAAGCACCGGGCATCACCAAAACAAGGGGGCAGGAGGGCACCCACGGCACCACCGAGGGCACCGGCGGCACCGAGGGCACCGGCAGGAGCCGTGGGAGCAGCTGGAGTGACAAGGAGGTGGCCGGCCCTGGGGTCCCCCCGCTGCCCCCGCCGCAGAGGTGAGCGCCTGCGGGGTTCGTGGTGGGACCTGGGGAGCGCAGAGTGGCACCTGCCCAAAATATGGGGTCAGGGGGGGACACGGCGCTGGGGAAGGGGCCGTGGGGAAGTGTCACAGCCGGGACGCTGGAGGTGTCCCCCCAGTTTGGGGATTTGGTGAGCGAGTGCCGCTGGAACTGGGGAGGGCTGGGCTGGGCTGGGTCCTGTCCCCAGCCCCGAGCTGCGGGCAGGGAGCACGGGTGGGAGTGGGGGGGGGCTGTTTGGGACCCCCCTGAGCCTCCACGGGCCCTGTCCCACCCCACGCCCCATCCTGTGGGGACACCACCGTGACCCGTGGGGACAACTCGGTGACATCCCAGCACCTTGCAGTGCCAGCAGGAGGCCGTGAGTGGCTCAGGGCCCACCCCGCTGGGGGCACCCGGTGGTGGCCAAGCGATGGCAGCGGGCAGGGGAGGAATCCCACAAACCGGGGAGCTCTGCCCAGAAGATTTGGGGGCTCCCCAAACCCAGCAGCCCCATCTCTGGGGTCACTGCACCCCCAGAGCCTCACGGCTGCCCGGAGACCCCCGGGCTCGTGCAGGTGGAGCCCCCGCGCCCGGCGATGCCGGTGTCCCCGTGCCGCTCTCCGTGCGCCCACACCGGCACCCCGCGGTGCCCAGCCTGCCCGCGCCCCCCCGGCCTCGTTTCCTTTCCCCATTTCCCCGAGCCCCCGGCAGAAGAGGAAGCGGCAGAGCCCTCGGAACTGCTGCTGCTGCACAATTTGCCCCGAGCCATCGCTGGGAGCCGCTGGCACCCTCCCTGGCAGGGGCTGCGGGGTCTGGTGAGGCTCGGGGGGCACCCCGAAGCTGTGCCAGCAACCGGACGGTGCAGGGGACAAGTGTCCGGTGCTGCACGGGGACAGGCAGGGCAGGGGCTTGGCAGCTTGGGGACAAACTGGGTGGCACCCCGATGTCACAGCCGGGTTTGTGGAGCTGGAGCACTTCAGCCACCCGCAGCCTGGGGCTCTGCTGCGGCTCCCGAGCGGAGGCTGTCCCCGCACGGCCCCATCGGTGGGCACTGGGGTTTTGGGGCTGCCCATCGGGGCTGGAGGAGCACGAGGGGAGCCCGACCTGCAGGGCAAACGGCCACCGTGGCTGGATACGAGCCCTGGGCTGAGCACGGAGCAGAGGGCACCCCAAAAAAATGGGATTTGGGGAGGCGATGCCTGGGGGCGCAGCGCTGCAAGGCGCTCCCAGCACCTCGCCACCTGCCTTTCCCAGCTCGAGGCCTTTTTTTGGGACTGTGCCCGGGTGGCAGCGCGTGGGTGGGTTTGGTTGGCAGCAAAGCCCCCTCCCCACCTTGCTCAGCCCCCTCCCGGGGGGCTCTGCGGGATGGAAGCCCCTGGTCCCTGCTCCAGCGGGGTCCTGGAGGGCGCAGGGGCACTTCAGCCCTGTCCCCGTGGGGTCATGGAGTGGGGTCAAGTCTGGGCTTCCCCGGTGACCCCAGGGGACCCTGTGGGTGGCCCCGAGGGTGCGGGGGGCTACAGGGCACTCGCCCACCCCCCTCTCTCCCCCTCTGCAGCCGGGAAGGCGAGGCCGCGATGGCGACGCTGCTGGAGCCCGGCGTGCGCAGCCAGCGAGTGGGTAAGTGCCGCGGGGAGGGCGGCTGAGGGGGGGTCCGTCTGCTCCCCCCCCCCCCACACACACACACAGGGCAGCCGCTGTCCCCAACGCCCCCCCACCCGGCTGCTGACGCCGCGGAACCCCCCCTGCGCCCCTAATGAGCCGCGCTCCCCCGCGCCCCATAACCAGAACCAGCTGCTGCCGCGAAACCTGACGCCGCGCCAGCAGCGGCCCCAGCAGCGGCACCGCACGGGCCCCCCCTCCACAAATCCCCCCCCCCCGTGCATGTCCTGCGGCCCCCCCACGCCCCACGCACCGCCCCGTGTCCCCTGTGTCCCCCCACCCACCCAGCCCCACACCCGCTCCGCTCCCTGCCACCCTTTTGGGGCACCGCGCTGCGCCCCCCCTCCCCAAAAAAAAGAAGCTGCGCTGCCTCCCCCCCCCCCCCACAGCCCCGCAGCCCCATCCCCGGGGACTTTCCTTTTTGTCAGGGATCAAATATTCATGCCGCAGACACGGATACAGGGAAAGGCACTTATGGAACAGGCGTGAAGGACGAGGCCGTGGCGATGCCGGGGAGCAGCCGAGCCCCCCCCTCGACCCCCCCCCTGTCATCTCCTGGGGGGGGCCCAAAGCAAAATCCGGCCTCTGGCAGCGGCACGCACGGTGCTGAGCCCCGGTGAGCCGTGCGTGGTGCCTGCTGGTGGCTTGGCTCCTGGGAGGCAAAGCAGAGGGGAACGGCCGGGACCCCCACTGCCGGCATTGGGGTGCCCACCACCAAGCCCAGCCCCAGTTTTAGGGTCGCAGGGGACCCCCCCCGCTGCAGGCTGTGGGGTTCCCAAGCAGGATTTAGGGAGCTGCCCCTGGGGTGTCACTGGGGTCAGTGGGAGCAGGGGGGGGTTCACCTGGACGCAGATATTTGGGCATCCGTGCCAGGTACCCCTGGCGGGGGTCCCGCGCCCGTCCCCAGCCCCTGTCCCCAGCACAGCCCCGTGGAGCCCCCCCCGGGCCCACAGCTGGAGCCTGCCCACCCCTCAGTTCGTGCACTCACAGGAGGGTGATTAATTAATCAGCCCCTCTGCTAATTGGAGCCATGTGCCAGGAGGAGCGCAGCCAGCAGGGAGCCCCGGGCACGGCTCCGGCGCTTGCCCCATCCCGGGGCTGGCGATGAGGGGCTGGGGTCGGGGGTTCCCCCCCGGGGGCTGGGGCACCAAAATTGAGCCGGGCACCTCCGGGACGAGCTCAGGACCTCGATTTGTGCCGCTGGATGTGGCCGGTGGCAGCCACGGGAGGAGGCACCGAGCGGGGGGCACCAGCGCCGCGGCTGCTCGCCCCCCGGCACGGCGCAGCCCCCGGGGGCTGTTTGCAGCCGTCCCCGGCAGATGTTGCCCCGCCGAATTTCACATGTGTTCGTCACACATCCACGGCTTAAAAATAGCAAAATAGCGGGGCCTGGAGAACCCAGCGCATCCCTTACGGCTCCAAAGACGTCACGGTGCGGGAGGCCTCGCGCTTCTGCCGTCAGCTTGTAGGAATGGGATCCGGCTGCTCCTTCCCTGCTCAGAGACCCCCCATCTCTCACCGTCCCAGTTCCCACTGGGGAACATCCCAGTTCCCCACAGATGCAGGGCTCGCCCCACAGCTCGCCCATCCCAAAGGGAAGGGGCTCCACCTGCACAGCCTGGGGGCAGGAGCTGGGCTTGCGGGGTCACCCGGAGAGCTTCCGACACCGCTTTTAGGATGAAATCAATCCTCCCCCGTGTGCCAGTTCCCCTCGGGTGATGGGGAAGGGATTCAGCCCTCGCCTCGCCCCCAAAGCCTGCCCCACCAGCGAGCTGACCCAAATCCGGCTGTCCCAAATTTCTGTGCTGAGCAGTGCTGCCCCTCCCCGTGCGCCAAGGAGAGGGCGCCTCGGTCCTGGGGCTCTCCTCCGACCACGTCCCCATCCCTGCACGAGCTGTGACCCCTGACAACCCCGTACCCAAACCAGCACATGGGGAGGGGACAGGGCTCGTCCCCGTGCCAGCCTCACCCCGCTGTGTCCCCAGGTGCCGACGGGGAGCAGTGCCCCACGCCGTCCCCCCCCGGCTCCCCGGGGACGCACCACGACAGCTGCAGCATCGCCCCGCTGACGCCCTCCCAGTCCCCGGTAAGGCAATCGCGGGGTCCCCGCGTCCCCACCTGGCTCCCTGCCCATCAGTCCTCGCCCCCCGCTGTCCTCCCAGCCCACCCGGGCACCCTGCCCCTCCCTACTGGGGCTGGTGCCCAAACCCGTGCCGGTGCCAGGGGATTTGCAGCACCCGCAGTTTTCCTGGCCCGTGGGTAGCGTAAGGGCACGGCTCAGCAGCAGGGGGGGTGGAGGAAATAGCAGCAAAGTGCAACTATTCCCAAAGTTTTTCTCCTTCTAGTTCCACTCGCTTTTTTTTCTGCTTGCTCCTGTCGGAATATCCCGGGGGCTGCGAGGACAGACGAAGGCGCGTGCCGGAGCGGGTCCCTCCCCGGGGGGGGCTTGCTGTCCCTGCAGTTTTACCAGGACCGTGCACATTTCTGAGACAACTCCATCACCCGTGCTAACAGGAGCGTGTTTTCGGAGGCTGGCTGATGTCTGCATTTATCGGATCTGAACGCATTAAAATCTTAATGAGGGCTTTTAGCTGCCTGCCTCTGCCCTGCGAAGGCGCGGGCGGTGCCGCGCGGGGCTCTGCACCTCCTGGTGCACTGACGGGTGGGGACACCCCCATCCTGGGCACCTGGACGTCCCCCATCTCTCAAGCAGGGAGGATTTTGGTGAAGTAGAGTTCAAAGTTGCAGGGTTTGAAGGTAGCAGGCCCCCCTCACACCAGCTCCACGTGGGGAGGAGCGGAGACCCCCGGGCAGCCTGCGTGGGCTGCAGGCGCATCTCCCTCCAGATGGTTTTTGGCCACTTCCCGCAGAGGTTGTTTTTGGAAAGCGCTGCAGCGAGGCACCACGAGGCCGAGCGCGCAGGCGGCCTCTTTTCTTTTTGTTTTGGAGCTGTGCAAGAGCAGCAATTGCCCCGTGCTGTAGAACCGCAGGGCATCATTGCAGAGGAAACCACGGCGTCACCGCGTCCCTGCCCCGGCGTGGGGTCAGGCTTGGATAAATCACTGCGGGCCCAAAACAGGAAAAATTAACCCTTTTGGGAGGTTTTATCCCTTTTCCCAAAGCAGCCGGCACTGCTTTGGGCTCACCCCGTGCGAGCCGTGCCCCGTCCCTAACGTCCTCCTTGTGTTGCAGAGGAGCGAGGCGCGCGCCCTGCAGAGCCCCTCCTTCGCCGTGGTGGTGGCCATCGATTTCGGCACCACGTCCAGCGGCTACGCCTTCAGCTTCTGCAGCGACCCCGAGGCCATCCACATGATGAGGTAACGCGCAGCCGAGGCCCCCGCACTGCTCCTGCCGCCCACCCAGGGCTGCTGGCCAAAAGCAGCCGGGAGCCAGCTTGGGGAGATTTGGGGGGACCACCGGCGGTGGTGGGGGTGCCTGGGCGCACGGGGTGGAAGCGCCCCAGTTGAGGGGCCCTGCACTGACTGGGAGGACTGGGTGACTTTGTCCTTTCCTTGTCCCCCTGTGGGGCATTTGAGTTTGTGCCCAAAAAAACAAACCAAAGGGGCCGGGACCCCCTGCCCCTGCCCTTGGTGGGCTCCGTCCCCCTCCCCAGCTGCCTGCGTGCAGCCGTGGCTCTCCCTGCCCCGTGCGTCCCGGCCACCCCTCACCATGCCAGGGGGCTTGGCAGCAAGGAGCAGCCCAGAGCATCCCCCAGGGTGGGGGTCCTGGGGGGTTTTAAGGTTCCTGCGTAATTTTGGGGAGGGCTGTGGTGTGCCATGGGGTGCCATGGGGTGCCATGCCGTGCGTGGTGCTGCGCCGTGCCGCAGGGGCTCAGCACCACCGGCCGCTGTGTGCAGGAAATGGGAAGGAGGGGACCCGGGGGTGGCCAACCAGAAGACCCCCACCAGCCTGCTGCTGACGCCGGAGGGCGGCTTCCACAGCTTCGGCTACACCGCCAGGGACTTACTACCACGACCTCGACCCCGAGGAGGCCCGCGACTGGCTCTACTTCGAGAAGTTTAAGATGAAAATCCACAGCACCAGCGTAAGGCTGCGCCCCCTGCGCTCCTGCAAGGAGAGGGGCTGTGGGAGGGGGGAACAGAAATTTCGGGGGGGGGTGTGAAACAAACCTCTGAGTGTCAGCATCCAGAGTGCGCCCTGCTCGCTTGTCACGCATTTTACACTTTGCAATACGAACCATTTTGGGGAGGGATTTTTTGTTCCCCCATCTGAGGTGCTTTGGCACATGTGGCTGCAGCGCGGTGCTGATAACCCGGGGGCGGGCAGGCAGCTGGGTGCCCCCAGCCCCGCTCCTGTGCCCACCACGGGGACCCCGAGGCTGGGAACGGCCGTGTCCTTGCTCCGTGCCCACGTCCCACGGGCTGCGCGCCGCTCTCCCCGCCAGGACCTCACCATGAAAACCGAGCTGGAAGCTGTGAACGGGCAGAAAATGCCAGCCCTGGAGGTGTTCGCCCACGCGCTCCGCTTCTTCAAGCAGCACGCCGTGCAGGTAGGGCACCCAAGGGGGGCTCCTGCGCCCCCCCCCTTGCAGCAGCACCGGGGGCCGTGGCTGCGCGCCCCCTGCCCCGGTGTGGAAATCGGGGGGTCAGCGGCCGCCTCTCGCCCCGCAGGAGCTGCAGGAGCAGTGCCCGGCGCTGCCGGAGCAGGGTGCCGTGCGCTGGGTGATCACCGTGCCCGCCATCTGGAAGCAGCCGGCCAAGCAGTTCATGCGGGAGGCTGCCTACAAGGCGAGGGGGGCAGCTGGGGGGGGGGCGTGGGGGGGGTGCGGAGGGGCTGCAGTGGGGCTGGGGTCGGGGAGGGGGAGCCGAGGGGCCGAGCCTCAGCCCCCTCCTGCAGCCACCCGGGTGTGATGGGGAGAGTGGCACGAGGAGGGCGTGGGGAACCCGCCCTGTGCAGCACCACGGGGAGCATCTGCCTGTCGCGATATCCTGTCCCTGTCGTGATACCCTGTCCCCATCGCAATACCCTGTCCCCGTCACAATGCCCTGTCCCTATCACGATACCCTGTCCCTATTGCGATACCCTGTCCCTATCATGATACCCCATCCCTGTTGCGATACCCTGTCCCTGTCGTGATACCCTGTCCCTATCACAATATCCACTCCCTGTCATGATGCCCTGTCCCCATCACAATGCCCTGTCCCTGTCATGATGCCCTGTCCCTATCACGATACCCTGTCCCTGTTGTGATACCTGTCCCTGTTGTGATACCCTGTCCCTATCATGATACCCTGTCCCTGTCACGATACCCTGTCCCCATCACAATACCCTGTCCCCATCACGATACCCTGTCCCTATCACAATACCCTGTCCCTGTCGTGACACCCTGTCCCTGTCATGATACCCTGTCCCCATCACAATACCCTGTCCCTGTCATTATACTTTGTCCCTGTCAGGATGCCCTGTCCCTGTTGCGATACCCTGTCCCTGTCACGATACCATGTCCCTGTCACGATACCCTGTCCCTATTGTGGTACCCAGTCCCTATCACGATACCCCATCCCTGTCGTGATACCCTGTCCCTATTGTGATACCCTGTCCCTATCATGATACCCTGTCCCTGTCACGATACCCTCTCCCTATCGCAATACCCCATCCCTATCGCGATATCCCATCCCTGTCGTGACACCCCGTCCCCCCCCACAGGCCGGGCTGGTGTCCCCAGAGAGCCCGGAGCAGCTGCTGATCGCGCTGGAGCCCGAGGCCGCCTCCATCTACTGCAGGAAGCTGCGGCTGCACCAGCTGGTGGAGCTGAGCTGCAGGGCCCCCCCCAACGGGCTGGGCCCCCACCGCGACATCGACTCCAGCTTCAGGCAGGGTGAGCGCGGGGGGGGGCTGCAGGGGGGGGGCTCGGGGATGTTCCCCAAATGCCCCCCTGTTTGGGGGCAGCCCTGTCCGGGGACCCCCAGCTTATCCAAGCCCCCCCTGCTCTATCCAAGGGGGGGTGTTGTTGGGAGGAGCCCCCCCCCCATAAAGCCAGCAGGGCCCTGGTGCTGCCCCGAGGACGGGGATCGGAGCCCCCCCATCCCGCTGTGCCATGTGGGGAGGGGGGAAACTGAGGCAGGGGGCGAGTGTGAGGCTGGGGGCTGCTCCCCTCTGCCCTCTGCGCCCCCCCCCCAAAAAAAAAAAAACAGCTCCTGCCCTTCCTGGCCACCCTGATGGCCCCGGGAGGGGACAGGGCAGAGGAAACCCCACCCGGATGGGACACGCTGTGCCAGCGGGGGGGGAGCCAAAGGGGGGGCACCACGGAGACGTGGGGGTCCCTTGGGGTTCTGTGGGGGTCCTGTGGGATGCTGAGGGGGGCCATGGGGTGCTGTGGGGGTGCCATGGGCTGCTGTGGGGTCCATTGGGGTCCTGAGGGGGTCCCAAGGGGTCCCAAGGGGTCCTAAGGGGTGTTGTGGGGGTCCATGGGGTGCTGCAGGGGTCCTGTGGGGTGCTGTGGGGTCCCTTGGGGTCCCTTGGGGTCCCTTGGGGTCCTGTGGGGTGCTCTGGGGGTGCCGTGGGGTGCTGTGGGTTCCCTTGGGGTCCTGAAGGGGTCCCAAGGGGTGCTGCGGGGGTCCTATGGGGTGCTGGGGGGTCCCATGGGGTGCTCTGGGGGTCCCATTGGGTGCTGTGGGGTCCCTTGGGGTGCTCTGGGGGTCCAGTGGGGTGCTGCAGGGGTCCCATGGGTTGCAGTGAGGGTCCCATGGGGTGCTGGGGGGTCCTGTGGGGTGCTGCGGGGGTCTTGTGGGGGTCCTATGTGGTGCTGCAGGGGTCCCTTGGTGTGCTGTGGGGGTCCCGTGGGGTGCTGCAGGGGTCCCTTGGGGTGCTGTGGGGGTCCATGGGGTGCTGAGGGGGTCCTTTGGGGTCCTGTGGGGTCCCTTGGGGTCCTGAGGGGGTCCTGTGGGGTGCTCTGGGGTCCCATGGGGTACTGCAAGGGGTCCTGTGGGGTGCTGCAGGGGGTCCATGGGGTGCTGTGGGGGTGCTGTGGGGGTCCCGTGGGGTGAAGTGGGGGTCCCGTGGGGTGCTGCAGGGGTCCCGTGGGGTGCTCTGGGGTCCCAAGGGGTGCAGTGGGGGTCCCATGGTGTGCTGGGGGGTCCTGTGGGGTGCTCTGGGGGTCCCACGGGGTGCTCTGGGGTCCCATGGTGTGCTGTGGGGGTCCCGTGGGGTGGTCTGGGGGTTCTGTGGGGTGCTGAGGGGGTCCATGGGGTGCAGTGGGGGTCCCATGGGGTGCTGTGGGGTCTCATGGGATTCTGTGGGGGTCCTGTGGGGTGCTGCAGGGGTCCCACGGGATGCTGTGGGGGTCCTGTGGGGGTCCTTTGTGGTGCTGAGGGGGTCCCATGGGGTGCTGTGGGGTCCCGTGGGGTGTAGTGGGGGTCCTGTGGGGTGCTGTGGGGTCCCTTGGGATGCAGTGGGGGTCTTGTCGGGTGCTCTGGGGGTCCCATTGGGTGCTGTGGGGTCCCTTGGGGTGCTGAGGGGGTCCATGGGGTGCTCTGGGGTCCCTTGGGGTACTGCAGTGGTCCCGTGGGGTGCCATGGGGTGCTGCAGGGGTCCCAATGGGTTCTGTGGGGTCCCATGGGGTGCTGTGGGGGTCCCTTGGGGTGCTGTGGGGTTCCTTGGGATGCAGTGGGGGTCCATGGGGTGCTGAGGGGGTCCTTTGGGGTCCTGTGGGGTCCCTTGGGGTCCTGAGGGGGTGCTGGTGGGTTGCTGTGGGGTCCCGTGGGGTGCTCTGGGGGTCCTGTGGGGTGCTGCAGGGGGTCCATGGGGTGCTGTGGGGGTCCATAGGGTGCTGTGGGGTCCTGTGGGGTGCTGTGGGGGTCCTGTGGGGTGCTCTGGGGGTCCATGGAATGCTGTGGGGCTCCCTTGGGGGTCTCTTGGGGTGCTGTGGGGGTCCCTGTGCGCCCCCCAGCCTCACACCGCCCCCCCATTGCCCCCGCAGCCCGTGAGCAGCTGCGGCGGTCCCGGCACAGCCGAACCTTCCTGGTGGAGTCGGGCGTCGGGGAGCTGTGGGCCGAGATGCAGGCGGGTAGGAGGGGGGGGGCAGCGGGGTGGGGGGGACAAAAAGGGGGGGGGTCCTCAACCTAAATTGGGGTTTTTGGGGGTTCCTCGCTCCAGCCAAACGCTGCGACGCCTGCGCCCTTATCCAAAACCTTATCCAGCTGGGGAAAAAAAAAAATAAAAAAAAATAAAAAAAGGCAAAAAAAAAACACAAATTGGGGTTCAGGCTGCCCGTGGCTGCATTGTGCCCCCCCCCCCCATGTTGTGCCCCCCCCCCCAGGTGACCGGTACATCGTGGCGGACTGCGGCGGGGGCACCGTGGACCTGACCGTGCACCAGATCGAGAAGCCGCAGGGGACCCTCAAGGAGCTCTACAAAGCCTCGGGTGGGCTGCAGCCCCCCCCCGGACCCCCCCCCACCCACCGGGAAAAGGGTTTTGGGGGGCTGGGGGGGGCACCGTGGGGATGGGGGGGGTTAGGGGCTGGGGGGGTTAGGGGTGGTTTGGGGGATCAGGGGGGCTCTGGGGGGGGGGTTGGGGTTCGGGGGGGCTCTGGGGGGGGGTTTATGGGGGGGTGGGCTGGGGGCTGTGGTGCGGGGGTGCCCCCACCCGTGCCCCCCCCCCCAGTGCCCGGTCTCTGTCCTGCGGCGCCCCCTGGTGGCAGCGAGGAGCGGGGACGGAGCGGGGGGGGGCACGGGGAGGGGGGGGCGGCTGGGGGCTGCAGGGGGGGGGGTGAGGGGGACGGGGGGGGCGCAGTGGGATGGGGGGGGCCGGGGCAGAAGGTGAGGCTGAGGTTCAGGTTTGGGGACGAGACCACCCCCCGCAGTGGGGTGTCCCCCCCGGGTGTGCCTTGCAGCCCCCCCAGCACTGACTGGGTGACACCGGGGTGACACAGGGTGACATGGGGTGACACAAGGTGACATGGGGTGATAGGGGGTGACATGGGGTGACACGGGGTGACACGGGGTGGCACAGAGAGACATGGGGGTGACATGGGGCGGTGGCACAGGGTGACATGGGGTGACACAGGGTGACACAGGGGAGACACGGGTTGGCATGGGGTGGCATGGGGGTGCTACAGGGTGGCATGGGGTGACATGGGGTGACGCGGGGTGACATGGGGTGACACAGAATGACATGGGGAGACACAGGATGACATGGGGTGACACAGGGTGACACGGGGTGACATGTCACCCCACTCCCTGCTGGGGGGGACGACATTCCATGTCCCCTGCCCCTGCAGGCCCCCCCCATATCCCCAGCTCAGCCCCATGCAGGGGGCTCCCCTCTACATCCCCCCACCCCACTGCCCCCCCCGTGCCATGGGGCCAGGATCTCTGCCTGACCCACAGCCCCCCCCAAACACAGGGGGTCCGTACGGCGCCGTGGGGGTGGACCTGGCCTTCGAGCGGCTGCTGTGTCACATCTTTGGGGACGATTTCATCGCCACCTTCAAGGCCAAGCGCCCGGCCGCCTGGGTGGACCTCACCATCGCCTTCGAGGCGCGCAAGCGAGCAGCGGCCCCCATCCCGCGCCAGCCCCCTCAACATCTCCCTGCCCTTCTCCTTCATCGACTTCTACCGCAAGCACCGGGGCCAGAACGTGGAGACGGCGCTCAAAAAGAGCAAGTGAGAATTTGGAGAGGGTGGGGGGCACCCGGGCACCCCCAGCCCCCCCCCGGAGCGCACGGCCCCGGAGGGTCCCCGTGGAGACGTGGAGGGGCTGGGGAGGGAGGACGACGCTGCCCTGAGGGGGTTGGCGGGGGTTCAGGGGGCTGGGGGGGGTTCAGGGGGCTGGGGGGGGAGCTTTTGGTGAGGGTCAGCCCCACGTGCCCCCCCCTCCTCTCCTCTCGTCCCCCCCCAGCGTGAATTTCGTCAAGTGGTCGTCGCAGGGGATGCTGCGCATGTCCCCGGAGGCCATGAGCGAGCTCTTCCAGCCCACCATCACCCAGATCATCAACCACATCGGTGAGTGATGGTCTGCGGTGGGGTGGGGGGGGGCTCCCTGCTCCCCCCGGCACCATGAGGAGCACCTGCAGCACCCCCACACAGCCCCCAGCACCCCCCAAGGACGGGGAGCTCCTCGGTGGCTCCCTCGGCACCGAGCGCTGCCCGGAGCGCTTCTCCCCCACTCACCGGCACCGGGGGGGGCTCCCTCACCCCCTGCCTGACCCCAAATCCCCTCTTTCTGTCCCCAGACGCCCTCCTGAAGAAGCCCGAGGTGCAAGGCATCAAATTCCTCTTCCTGGTGGGGGGCTTCGCCGAGTCGCCCATGCTGCAGCACGCCGTGCAGGCCGCCTTCGGCGCCGCGTGCCGCGTGGTCATCCCGCAGGACGTGGGGCTCACCATCCTGAAGGGCGCCTGTGCTCTTCGGCCTCGACCCCACCATCGTCCGCGTGCGGCGCTCCCCCCTCACCTACGGCGTGGGGGTGCTCAATCAAGTTCGTGGAGGGCAAGCACCCGCGGGAGAAGCTGCTGGTGAAGGAAGGCAAGAACTGGTGCACCGACATCTTCGAGAAATTCGTCTCCGTCGATCAGTCGGTGGCGCTGGGGGAGGTGGTGCAGCGCAGCTACTGCCCGGCGCGCCCCGGCCAGCGCAAAACCATCATCAACATCTACTGCAGCGCCGCGGACGACGTGGTTTACATCACCGACCCCGGCGTGCGAAAGTGCTGGCACCGTCAGCCTGGAGCTGCCGCAGCTTGGGGAGGGGGGGGGACACGACGGTGACACCGGTTCCCCCCGCTGCCCGCCGCGAAATCCGCGCCGCCATGCAGTTTGGGGACACGGAGATCAAGGTGACGGCCGTGGACATGAGCACCTCCAAGACGGTGCGGGCCACCATCGATTTCCTCTCCAACTGATGCGCCCAGCTCGGTGGGGCTGAGCAGGGGGCACCCTGGGGGGGGCAAGACCCAAGCGCTCCCCCCTCGCCGTGCCAAGAGGTCACCGTCACCCCGCGGGGCGCCCCGATGCTGAGAATCGCTCCCCAAAAAAAAAAAGGGCTGAGGGGCTGAATTCAGAAGGCATAAAGCCAGCCCTGGCACGGCCCCCAGCACCCAGGGAGGGGTCTGGGGCTGCCCCCCCCCGCTGCTGGAGCCCAAATTTCTGTATTTTTACTGCTCCTCGCTGCGGGTGCCACGCTGAGCCCCGGGGACGCAGCGTGCGGGAAGGAGCCCCGCACCCAGCCTGGGGCTGCCTGGAAATGCATCGCCCCCCCCCCCCGCCACCCCCCCCCTCATCCCCTGGCTGCCCACACACCAACAAACACATCCTCACCCCCCCCGGGAGTCTGAGGGCTGCAGGGAAAGGGGGGGCACCCCCCCTCCACCCCCCCTCTGTGGGTTTTAATCGTATTTAGGAGAGAAAATTGCCCGTGAGGGGGGAAGGAGCGCGGGGGGGGGGCGCAGACAGGCTGAGCTCTGGCACGGTTAAACTGACATTTATTAGTTACCTCTATAGATACTATTTTTTCTTTTTTTGTACTTAAAAACCCGCCCGCACGCGGCCATGTATGTATATATCTATATATTTATATCTGTATAGGCACACCGAGCCTCCTGCTGCTGCGGCCGGGGGGGGGGGGGGGGGACAGGGAAAAAAAAAAGCAAAAAAGGGGGGAAAAACACGAGGGGGGAGCAAGGCGGTGCTCAACGTGGACATGGACATGGACAGGCAAGGGGAGCCAGCCCCCAGGAGGCAAAATTTAACCCGGGGGGGCCCAGCTTGGGGTGTGCCCCCCCCCCCACGCCCCCAAATGCCCCCTCCTGGGGAGGGTGGGGTGGGAGAAAAGCGAGGGGGAAGCAGCAGCAGGGGGGCAGCATAGGGGGGGGGCCTTTCCCCCAGCCCCATCCAAGGCAGGAGCTGCCGGGGCACTTCAGGAGCCTCAGGGGGGTTTTGGGGGGTTTTTTGGGGACGCCCCCACCCCGGGGGGGGAGCAGAGGTACAGGGTGGGGGGCGCTGCAGCAGCCCTGGCTCAGCGGGCAGGGGGGGAGCAGCAGCAGTGGCAGCCCCCAGCTCGGTGGCACCAGCGCTGGGGGGCCTGGGGGGGCATCTTGCCTGCTTTAAAGAGGGAGCTGTGCCCCCCCCGGGGAGGGGGCCGGGGGCTAGTCGAAGCCGTGCCAGTCGCTCTGCTCCGAGTCGTACTCCAGCTCCGCTCCCACGCAGCGCACCCCCTCCAGGAGCATGGGGGTGCCGTGGTGCCGGTCTGCGGGACGAGGGGGGGGGACAATGGGAAATGGGGGCACGGGAACCCCCTGTGAACCCCCTGGGGGGGGCAGGACAGACGCCCCCAGCCCCCCAGCAGCCCTTACCCATCACGCGAGCCTGCACCACCACCTTGAGGCCGGCGCCGTCCCCGGTCTCGCTGGCGAGGAGCATCTCCTCCTTCAGGACCCCCTCCTTGTGCGCCGTGTACTCGCACTTGATGCTGTAACCTGGGGACGGGGGGGGGATGCTGAGAGCCCACGGCTGGGCCAGGATTTTGGGGGGCGGGCAGGAGCTGCTCACATCCTGGGGGCCCCGCTCTGGGAGCCCCCAGCCCCGAGCTGCTGCTGGCATCGCCCAGGGCAGGAGCACGGGGCTGGTTTTTGGGGTGCTCGGCTCGGTGGCACCGCAGCACCCGGCCCCAAATCCAGCAGCACAATGTGCAAACAACCCCAAAAGCACCCAAAGGAACCCCTCTGCCTGCGCCCTGCCACGGGTGGGCACCCGGTGCCGTGCCCCAGGGCACCACCTCCCCTCAGCCGGGCACCCCAAACCCTTCCTGATAGGAAAACCCGTGCCAAAATTCTGCAAATGTCCCCTTGTAGGGCAGGGGGACAAGGAAACGGCCCCAAAGGCAGGCAGGAGAAGGGTGAAGGCTGGCCCCACAGCCCTGTGTGCCCCCCCCCGGAGCGCAGGCACAGCTGTCAGAGCGGGAGGAGGCGGCTGCTTTCCATCCAGAGGGAAAAAAGCTCTCCATAAAAGCAGGGAGTAGGCAGAAAAATAAACACCTGCGGCAGCTCAGCAGAAAAAAAAAGGCATCAGAGCAGCCCCGGGGCCACGAGCCTGCCCGAGCACACTGCCAGCGGCCCGGGGGGGCCCCCAACAATGGTGCTGGGGGGGAAATAAAAAGGTGCTGAGTGCCAGGGGTGGGGGCTGCCCCCACCCAGGAGCCCCTCAGGGGTTCCCGGCTCTGCCTCGTGGTGCCCGGGTGAAGCCGAGGTCTCAAACCCAGCGCTTGGCACCCTGCGCCCTGGCTGCTCCTGCCCCAAACTCCCCATCCCCTGCCACATGGGGACGGGGGTGGCATCGGGGACGTCCCCACGCAGCAGGGGTGCCGAGGTGGTGGCCACCCACACAGGCACGCACCCTGCTGGGGACATGGGGACAGCAGCAGGAGCCGCTCTCCATCACACACCCCCTCCTTAAATCACTTCTGGCTCCCAGGACGGTGCCCCCCAGGGGGGCAGAAGCCACCCCCAGGACCCTGAGGGGGGGCGCAGAGGACACGGGGACCTTACCTTCAGGCCCCGAGGTGACGCTGAGGACCCTGAGGTTGGGGTTGGGGAGGGGCAGGGCGCAGACGTCCTTCCCCAGCCGCTGCGAGGGGGGCAGGAGGAAGGCGATCTCGTACTTGTGCAGGATCTTCAGGAAGCCCACCTGCGAGGGGAGAGGGGGGGTCACGCCGGGTGGGATGAAGGCGAGGGGCTCACAGCCCCCCCAATCCCACCCCACACCCCCCTCCTGTGGGGCAGGGACCCACCAGCACCCGACGCTCGCCCCCAGGCGCCACGGGGGTGGCACGGGGTTTGGAGCAGCCACGGGGGGGGCGTTTTCCCAAACACTCAGGAAAATGCAATAAACACGGTTATTTTAAGCTGCGCAAAGCGAGCAGCAGAAATAACCACTGCTGGGAACGGCGCTGCTGAGAAGGACCCCGGGGACGTGGGGGGGCAGCAGAACCCATTCCCCCCCCCCCCCGTTGACACCGAGCAGCGCTCAGGGACCTGCAGCAGGAGCCAGGACGCCTCCAGCAGCATTTATCCACTCCGACAAAAACCAGAGCCCTCTCCCAGCCCCCACGCTGGTTTCCATCACGCTCAGCAATCCACATTTCGGGAAGGGCCCCCCCCCCATTGCCCCCAGCTCCCCAGAGCCCCCCAAGAAGGGGGATGCCACCCCAGCACCCCCATCGCACCCCCGGCACGGGGACACCGCTGCTCCCCCACCTCCAACGTGCACGGGGTGGGCTGCATGGGAAGCACCACAGGCCCCCCGGGGCTGGGAGAGCCCCAAAAAACCACCCCAAAACCCCCCCATGAGGAGCAGGAGCTGCCTCAGGGGACCCACCTGCAGGGCACGTGCGGTGCCGGCAGCACAACGCCGGCAGCCACCCCCGGGGCGGCGATCGCTCAGCAACCCGCAGCAATTTTTAGGGCAATAACCCATCAAATAAGTGACTCAGAGCTCAAAAGGGAATTTTAAATCGCTTTTGCCTCACGCAGCGCCGGGGTGTACCTGCAGAAGCCCTCGCTGGTTTTATTCCTCGTGGAAAGGAGCCCCCCCGGGGGCCGTGCCCTGAGGAGCCCCACAGCCACCCGTGGAGAGGGGTCCCCATGGCACCCGCGGGCTCCCCGGGCACGTGTCCACCCCCAGCAGCCCCCCAAAAGCAGGTGTGCCCCCCCCAAATCCCACCTTGACGAGGAAGTGCCCGTCCTTCTCCTGCGTCACCATCACCGCCGAGTCCCGCAGCTGCTCCTGGAAGTGGACGTGGCCGGGGGCCCCCTCCGCGGGCTGGCTGGGGGCGAAGCGCACGCCCCCCGCCTTGGCCTTGCCGCCTGCACGGGGCGAGAGGACGGAGCCCACGCGTCACCCCCTGCCCCCGGGGACACGGAGCCATGGGGCAGGACGGAGCCATGGGGCAGGACGGGCTCCGTGCCCCTCCCCAGCCCCTGACACTCCCGGACTCCCACCAGGAGCGGTGCTGTGCGCCCTGGGGCTTTGCAGGATGGGGTCTGCGGGCTGCCAGGGGGAGAAAACTCTTCCTCCTTCTCCTCCTCCTCCTCCTCCTGCAGCAGTGACCCTGGAAATGTCCCTGGCCATGCTGCCCACACAGGGTGAGGCACAGCCCCCAGCAATGAGATGGGGGGGGAAAAATCCTGCTGCAGGGGCTGGGGGGGCACTCACAGCACGGGCTCTGCACCCAGGCACCGAGCTGGGAGCGGGGCCGGGCACGGAGCAGGGTCCCGGTGGCTTCAGCACGGAGATGTGGGGCAGGGGGACGTGTGGGGACAGCCGGGCTGCCTGCAGCTCCACTGCTGGGCTGTGTGTGTGTGGGAGGGGGGGGCAGAACCCCAAAAAAAGCCCCCTCCCCAGAGCCGCCGAGCGGCGTCCATCTGGCAGCAGGCAGGGAGCAGATTGCTGCCTCCTTGAAGAAAAGGCTTCTTTGTGCCTGATTTACAGGGGATTTAATAACTCGCCATTGTTGGGCAGGAACAGCTTGGCGAGGAACGCAGCAGGCAGCGGGGCTGGGGGTGCGAGGCCGTGGGTGGGGGTGTCCCCACCTGAACTCACAGAAACCCCCCCTGGGGGCGCACGGTTTGGGGTGAATTCGGCACAGCCCCACAGGATCATCGTGGGGAGCCCAAATTGCTGCTGGACCCAGAGCTCGAGCAGCCCCCAGGCAGCTCTGGGGGGGCACCGGGACGCGGCACCGCACCCTGCCCACGGGGGTGACAGGGATGGGGCCCCCACCCCGAGTGCTGGCACCACGCAGAGCCCAAATTCCTGCACTGAAATTAGGGGTGCGATCCCTAATTGTGCATCCTGCACACACCCAGGCAGCCACGCCGACAGCTCCGTGAGTCAGCCTGGGGCTGTAAGCGCCACCTTTTGTCACTGGGTCCTGCCGTGAGGGTCCCCGTTGTCCCCCAGTAGGCAGCACTGGGAGCACTGGGGCAAGCGGGCAAGGAGATAACGGGCAGCCTGCCCTTGGCACCGCGGCCACGGGACCGGCAGCGCTGCCAGGAGAGCCGCAGGTGATGACAGCACGCGGCGCAGGGACCCTGGCACCGTGCCCCCCGGGTGGGGGCTGTGCCAGCAGCCTGGGTAAGGCTGCACCGAGGGAGGGGGCCGCGGGGGTGGGGGGCACAAGGGAGAGGCACAAAGAGCCCCCCGGGGCTGTGTCTGGGGGGTGCAGGGCTGGGAGTGCCGCAGCCTTTCCGTGTCACCTCCCTGCTCCGAGCATGCAGCCGGGAGGCAGCGGCACCGGGAGCACCCCGGGAGGCTGGGGGGGCACCGGGGGGGGGTACCGGGGGGGGGGGGTACCGGGACTCACCCTTGCTGGCCGCAGCCATGGGTCCCCGCCGCCGTCCGGTGTCCTCGTGCCGAGCTTCAGAGGAGGGGGAGCGAGGCCATGCTCTGAGGGGCGCCGCCGGAGCTGGGGGGGGGGAAAAAGGGGTCGGTGAGCACCGGGGATGCCGGGGGGGGAGCCCGGGCACCGGCACCGGGGCTCTGCCGGTGCTGGACCGGGGGGGGTGGTGGTGGACCCCGGTGCTCCCCCCCCCGGTGCTCCCCAGGGCCACGCAGCTCCCACGGCCCCGGGGTCACCGTGGCTGGGACAGGGCCAGGAGCGGCCCCTGGGGAGGGGAAACGGGGAGCGGGGGGGGCGGGGGGGAGCGGCGGGGCCGTGACCGGGCCGTGACCCCGTGACCCCGACCGTGACCCCGGGATGAAAAGGGGGGGGGGGGGGAGGGGAGGGGGCAACGGGGTGAAACCGAGCACGGGGCGCCGGAACGGAGCGCGGAAACCGGGCGGAAACGTTAAAAACGGAAAAAAACGGGAAAAAATACAAAAATTAATAAAAATTAAAAAATTAATTAAAAATTTAAAAAAATATTAAAAAATTAAAAATTAAAAAATTTAAAAAATCAAAACCCACGCGCTTTTAGGGGGCTGGGAGGGGGCTGGGAGGGGACCCCCGGGGCCCCCCCATGCACCCCGAGCCCCCCCCCGCCGGTGCCGTCCCCGCTCACCGCCGCGTCCCGGGCGCTGCCCGCTGCCCGCTTCCCACTACCGGGACACGCCCCCCGCCCTCCTATTGGTCACCCCGCTCCTCGGACACGCCCCCCCGCCGCTCCCATTGGCCCGCCCGCTCTGCGGTCCCGCCCCCTTCCCCCGCCACTCCCATTGGCTCCGGTTCCTACGCGGCGCGCCGGCAGGGTTCACTCAAAGGGGCGTGGCCGGCAATGGGAGGGGGCGTGGCGATGGGAGAGGGCAGCCAATGGGGAGAGAGTGGGCGGGGCTTGAGTGGCAGGGAGGCCCCGCCCCCGCGCCACGCGGTTGCCATGGGGACGCCTCCCCCCGGTGCCCCCTCCCCTCCCTGAGCCCAGCACCGGGGGGGGGCGGGGGGCACCGGGGGGCACCGGGGGTAGGGACAGGGGGGTGGGGGGGCACCGAAACGGCTCCCCCCGGGATTAGCCACCAGCCCCCAACAGGGATTAACCGGGAGCCCCCCGGGGATTAACCGGGAGCCCCCCCCTAGGATTAACCGGGACCCCCCCCCGGGGATTAACCGGGACCCTCCCCCCGGGGATTAACCGGGACCCTCCCCCCGGGGATTAACCGGGAGCCCCCCCCAGCCCCGTAGGGAAGGCTTGGAGCACAGCGCGGATCAGCATCGCCGAGGCACGGACGGGGAGGCACGGTCAGGGTGGGCACGGGGCTGTAATTCTGCTCTGCCCCCCCCCCCAAGCACCGGGGGGGGGGTACCGGGGGGGTACCGGGGGGGGGGGGGCACCGGGGGGGGGCTCTGCTCAGCGCTGCTCCCGCTGCAGGCGCCGGCTGAGGTCGTCGATCCGCGTGTCCTTGAGGCGCAGCAGCTGCTCCAGGCGCCGCACCTTCAGCTGCAGGAGCTGAGCGGGACCTGCTCTCAGCTCGGTGTGTCCCCCCCCCACAAACCGGGCTCGGTCAGTCCCCGGGAGGGGGGGGGGGGGGCACACCGGGATGGTGGGGGGGGGGGGGCACCACGGTCCCGGTGCCGCTCACCTGCACGGTTTCCTGGGCCAGCAGCAGCGCCTGCTCCTTCTCTGCCAGCTGCAGGCGGGCGGCAGCGGCGTCCCCCGGGGGGGCCGGGCTCCTGGGACAGGGAGGGGGGCACCCAGGACAGTGACTGAGCCCCCCCGCACACCCACTGAGCCCCCCGGCCGTGCCCAGCACCTCCTGGGGTCCCCCTTCCAGGAGCCTGCACCCCACGGGGACCTGCGGAGCACAGCCTGCAGGGACCCCCGGGGGGGGCACAGACCCCACAAAGCCCCCACACAGCCCCCACACAGCCCCCACAAAGCCCCCCCACAGCCCCCAGCCTTACCCCACAGCCCCGGGGGGCTCCTGGGCACAGCCCCGTCCCGTGCTCTTCACCTTGCCCCCCCCTGTCAGGAGGGAAGCAATAAAACAGAGCGGAGAGGTTGGGTCCAACCTCAGTCCAGGAGCACAATTAGGGTTAATTAGCACACGGAGCATCTCCCTCAATTAGCACGTGCCCTGCCCAAACAGCTCTGAGCCCTCACGCCCCCCCCCCAAAAACAGGAGGCAGATTTTGGGTTAGGAGAGGGGGGTCCCAAGGTGTAGGGGGGGCCCTACCCGTCTCCAGGTAGCCGATCTCCTCCTGTGCTGTCCTCACGCCCAGCTCCTGCACGGAAAAACCCCGTTACCATGGGGTCACCCTGCAAGCAGCCCCCCCCCGTGCTGGGGGGGGGCTCCAGGCCCACCCCCCTGCCAGGAAAATGGGGGATGGAGCACCCCAACCCATCCGGCTGCCCCTATATCAGAGGTCGGCTCAGAGCAGGGGGTTCCCAGCAGCGTGGTGGGGTCAACCTGCCTCAAATTCCTGCGCAGCCACAGCCCCGTGGTGCCCCCCTGGGGGGTGCCGGGGGGGGGCCCAGGCCCCACTGACCTGGTGGGGGCCGGGCAGCGCCTTGCTCTTTTTCTGTTTTTCCTCGATTTTCTGTCGCAGCACGAGCAGCACCTGCTCCGCCATGCCCGGCCGGCACTGCGCCACCTGACGGATCACCTCGTCCGGGAGGGACAAGTTCAGCTTCCTCAAAACCTTCCTAAAATAAATAAATTAAAAAAAAACAGGAGCCAAAACAGCTCTGAGGGGTAGCGCCCCCCCAGCCCGGTGGGGAGCGGGGAGTGGGGCGCCGCCACCCCGCTACCTGTTGAGGTGTCCCCAGTTGGCCAGCTTCTGCGGCGTGGAGCTGGCGGGCACGAAGCTGTGCAGCTGCACCATGGCGGGGAAGAAAAACTTCACCACCTCGGCTGCCAGCACTGCGGGGGGAGGAAGAGGAGGAGGAGGGGAGGTGGTGGTGGGACGCGGGGCCTGGCCCTACAACAGGCCCGGGCCTGGCCCCACAGCCACGGCCTGGCCCTACAAAAGGCCCGGGCCTGGTCCCACAACCTCAGCCTGACCCCACAGCAGGCCCGGGCCTGGCCCCACAACCACAGCCTGGCCCTACAGCAGGCCCGGGTCTGGCCCTACAACCTCAACCTGGCCCTACAACCACAGCCTGGCCCCACAGCAGGCCCAGGCCTGACCCCACAGCCACAGCCTGGCCCTACAGCAGGCCTGGGTCTGGCCCTACAACCACAGCCTGGCCCCACAGCAGGCCCGGGTCTGGCCCCACAGCCACGGCCTGACCCCACAGCAGGCCTGGGTCTGGCCCTACAACCACAGCCTGGCCCTACAGCAGGCCCGGGCCTGGCCCCACAACCGCAGCCTGGCCCCACAGCAGGCCCGGGCCTGGCCCCACAACCTCAGCCTGGCCCCACAGCAGGTCCGGGCCTGGCCCTACAACCTCAGCTTGGCCCTACAACCACAGCCTGGCCCCACAGCCACGGCCTGGCCCTACAACAGGCCCGGGCCTGGCCCTACAACCTCAGCCTGGCCCCACAGCAGGCCTGGGCCTGGCCCCACAGCCACGGCCTGGCCCCCTAAAGCCCCCTCCCGGCTCCCCGGAGGCCCGGAGCCGCTCGCACCGCCGTCGCTGAAGTCGCGGGCGACGTTTCTGCGGGGCCGGGAGAGGGGCAGGGTGTCCAGCCAGCCGTACAGGGCCCGCAGGCCGCCATCGCCCGCCGCTCCCGGGCCTAGGCCTAGGCCCGCCATGGCGCCCGCCGCGTCGCCATGGCAACGGGGCCGCGCGGGG